GATGCCACCAAGCGGAGTGAGCTTTGGGATTCATTGATTGTTGTTGGCAATGGCAGCAAGATCAAGGGTATGTATTCCATCAGAAGTCAATGTGGCTCCCATACTAATCTTGTCTCACAGGATTCACGGCATCTCTGCTTGGTGCCATCACCCAAAAATACATCCTCTCTCCATCCGCCACTATGTTCACCTCCGAAATCCCTTCCAACTTCTCCACCCCTCTTCCGACAGGAGGAACCAACACTCCTGCCCCCTCTGGCCAGCCTGGTCCGATGACCCACCCTGCTGGTCACGGTGTCAATCCTCTCCTCGTCGCTGCCACACACTCCAACAACCCGGCGTCCTCCAGCATGCCCCCCGGAACTCCATTGATGGATCCCACATCGATGTCGCATCACCACCGGTCCACAGGGCACTCCCAAACCCCGACTTCGGTCAAGACGCTGCGACCTCCGGAGTACTTTTCCGAATGGAAAGAGCAAGCCAACACCAACGCACCCGGAGCAGCTGGTCCTGGCGGTCCCGGCGTGGCGAGTGGTGGCCACGGTATGGAGGAGGCGGTCTTCCTTGGGGCCCAGGTCGCATCCAAGGTCGTGTTCGTGCTCGACCAGGGCCTCAGCAAGGGCTTCATGACCCGGGTAGAGTATAACGAGAACGGCCCGTCCGCGATTCATGATTATGTCATGTGATAGCCCTATGAATTTGTCTCGGAAAGGGAATTTTTTTTTACCTGAAATACTCGAATAATTGTTTTTGACCGAGGGTTTTCTGTACCTTTACTACATGACTAGCCTCTTCTCTTAAGAAAATTAGAGAGAGAAAAAAGACAAGAACAGGAAGGCTATCATCACTCAAGCTACGGAGATTGAGGCTGTAGTTTGATCTGATCCAACCCACGATTCAGGGTAAAGTGTATGTACAAAGGTGCTTGCAAGGCACCAAAATGGGGCATCGTAAACGTTTGAGCTCAAAAATTCGACGAGTTTTCGTATGCCTATTCTAGCCTTTGGTTTGGCCCTCAAACAGAGGAAAGCAAGAGATTATATAGAATCCACACTTTTAGTACGGGTTACATCCGTATCAGTCCAACACTGGATACTTCAACCACAGCCGCTCCAGAACAATTATGTACATGCACACAACATCCTCCCCTCTCAATTGATGTAAAGACCAACGAGCCCACCTCACCAACCAACCCCCCCCTCTCTCTCAAAACCCAAAGGGCCTACCTAAGCCCCCGACGGACCCAGATAAACATCCACCTCGATCTCCAGATTCTGGCCCTCGAACGGCAGCGCCTCGATCCCCAGCATCGTCCACGTCGGCTGGTGCCCGGGACACCACTTGCGGACCTCGTCCACCATCAGCCCGATGATCGTCTCCCGGGTTTGGGGAAGGTTGACGTGGTAGCTGCGCAACTTGGTGACCAGCTCCCACCCGGTGGTCACCTGGGCGCGCAGCTCCGGCCGGGCCCGCTCCAGCGCGTACAGGATCACCTCGTTGATGTTGGCGAATGCCTGGGCGACTTCTTCTTCGAGGGTGGGCGGGATTGTCGTGGAGGTGGGCGACATTCCGGCTTTTGGGGGGGAGGGTTAGTTTGGCTTGGGTTCGGAGGGGGGGAGTGGATGGGAGGTAGGTGGGGTGGGTGACAAGGTTAAGTTGGGATCTGGAACTGACTCTGTCCGGCAATCTCCATTCTGTCGCCGGCAATGCAGGCTTCGGAGAAGCCATATTCGTCTTGGAAGTGTTGGCCGCGGCCGGGACGGGAGTAGCTGGGGAGTTTGCGGGGCATGATAGGTGGTTTGGGAGGATGGAACACTCTAATGACGGGGTCTAGGGTTGAGCTTGAATATGATGGGAGACTATCAGGGGGGTTAAGGGGGGGTAAGATGGGAGACGGTGTTTATATGGGTTCATAATCGACTTGGGAGAGGGGGAAGCTAGTGGGGGGTTTTAGTGGTAGGTTGGTATAGTCAGAGATGCTAATTTAGTAGGTGACATGGGTGTAGGTAACTATAGATCAGACTGCTGGGCATTGAGTGATGCTGGTAGTATTTCAGGTTTGAGGTTGTCTGTTCAGCCCAATTGTATAACTACTAGCCATAGTAGCACTACTAGGTAGGCTTCAGTGTCGTCTAGATTGGCTCCTATTTTCACTTGCACCTAGGGATGTCAATATGTCAAGGCAGCAAGTGACAAGAAAGAAGTAACTGTAGTGAGGCTTTGGAGCATTCTAGAGCCCCACAAATGGTATTATAGCAGGCAGGACAGACCAATCTCAGTGCTTGTCTTATGCTCATTGTAACAATGCGAGTTGAACTACGGAGTACAGCCAATAATTAGCCTACTCCTGTCTAGCCGGGATAGCCATTTCAGTCACGTGGATCACTTATCTAATCCTGCCTCGTCGCCACCCGTTCCTGGGGCGGGCGGGCTTGTCTTGCGGCGAGACACTCATCCTCTTCCCGACAACCACTTATTCTTTCCTAACTATCACCACATCGTCACAATGCCGCGCGCAGAGGCTGGAAGTACAAAAGCTATCAGCAACAAGATCAAACAGAAGGGTCTGGGCAGATTGCGATGGTACTGCCAAGCATGTGAGCGACAGGTAAGCGATCCCCGTTCACTCTACCCAGGTAGACTATACTGACTCTGACTGTCCCAGATGAGAGACGAGAACGGCTTCAAATGCCACGTCCAGTCCGAAAGCCACGTCCGTCAGGTGCTGCTCATCGGCGAGGATCCGAAGAAATATATCGAAGATTACAGCAAGCAGTTCATTGATAATTTCCTCGGTCTTCTGAGAACGACGCACGGGGAGAAGGAGGTCAACGCGAATCAGTTCTACCAGCAGATTATTGCAGATAAAACGGTGAGTTTTTCCTTGAAGGGTGATGAGACTATAGGGGTGGGGTGCTAACAATTTGGGCCAGCATATTCACATGAACGCCACGAAATGGAAGAGCTTGTCGCAATTCATCGCGCACCTCGGTCGCGAGGGTCTTTGTCGAGTACAGGAATCTGAAAAGGGGCTGTTTGTCGCGTACATTGATCGGAGTCCGGATACGATGCGCCGCCGCGAGGCGCTGGCGAAGAAGGAGCGGCAGGATAAGGGCGACGAGGAGCGGGAGCAGCAGCAGATCCAGGAGCAGATCGAGCGCGCGCGTCAGGCCGCCGTAAAGGAGGATGAGATTGATCCGGAGGCTAGAAACCTGCAGCGGAAGGAGGGCGAGAAAGTGAAGCTGAATATCGGGTTCGGTGCGAAAACAAGTGAGGACGCGAAGGCTGAGTCACCGGCAACGGCCACTTCGGCCGAAGAAAAGGACTCCAGTGCCTCGCCGGCTTCTCCGGAGGCCTCCGCCGCTGCCTCCCCTGCGCCCGTGGCTGCTCCGACGGCGGCGGCGCCGAAGGTGTCGCTGTCTTTCGGGGTTGGCAGCAACAAGCCGAAGAATGTGTTTGCGACGGCGGTGAAGAAGAACCCTCTCGCAGGGAAGAAGGGTCCTGTGAAGGAGGCGCCCAGAAAGATGACGGAGCAGGAGCGGATCATGAAGCAGGAAATGGAAGCAATGGAGCGCAAGCGTATGCGCGGGGCATCCGGTTTCCCGGATGCTAAACGCCCGAAGATCTCTTGAACGCAGGGCAGTCTGCTACTATGACTGGGTGTGAGTTGAAACTCGGAATCCTCTCACATCTCTCTTCGCTGCCGCGCCTAGACACCGATCTCGCGCGAGACCATCGGTCCTCGTCCTCTGGCTTGGCTGGGCCTCTACGCCGCGAGGGCTTCTGCTTCATTGGTGTCAGGATCTTGCAGGAGCGCTCAATCCAGCGCTGCGGGAGACCCGGACGGCATCTCCACGCTATGCGCATCTGATGCGCTACTAGACAGCAGCTCCGGGTGAGAGCGATGGGTGTCTCCACGCGAGAGCGACTGGTGTCCCCTTTCGATCAGGACTACTCAACCATGGCCTTGTGGAATAAAGGGCTGGGGTGGGGGATCATTTTAGATCCAGGGGCGGTAGATGTCCCTTGATAGCTTAATTTCAGTCATCTACCTATGCTACCGGGCGGGTAAAATGTATTCTTATGTATTCTCGTCCACGTTTTTGTGTATATTGTCACGTGACTGGTGGCTACTTCCCTTGCCATCTATCGGTTGATTCTCTGCATCAACCAACGTAGTTCAAAGCACCGATCCATTCATGAGGCACCTGGTGGTAACTTCGCCTCGTTTGTGTCTTGTCTACGCCACATCCGACGGGATATTATTGTAGTTGCCGTGCTCGTATATTCTTCCATAGTCCCGCTTTGTCAGCGTGGCATCCCCAGATGAGTTAGAAATATATAACCCAAAATGAAGCCCACCAATCATCACAATATTCGAACCTAGACAAAACCAATGAACACCCACCCACAGGGTCACTACTCAAGACTGCAGCTTCTAGTTAAAGTACATAACACACTAGTACCTCCAGTGTATTCACCAGCACGGTAAACATCCGAACACTCGAAACAGCAAGTCAACAAGATGCCCTTCGATCATGCTAATGATTTTAGAACATAAGTGCAAACATTGAGCCATTCGACATAACAAGCCCGGGTGGTCTAGTGGTATGATTCTCGCTTAGGGATTCCAAACCCAAGCATATCTGCGAGAGGTCCCGCGTTCGATCCGCGGCTCGGGCCTTGATTATTTTTTTTGCCCCATTATCATCACCGATCGCGTCTTGAGGTTTATTTTTTTCCCCTTCGTGTTAATGATTGGCCTCTTCTTAGCCCCCCCGCCCACAGATATGTGGGTACAGGCCCAGTATGGTGGCTGTACATCAACATGCACCCGCTGTTCACTCGACCAGAAAGGGATGACAACACCTCGAATGGGGTTAAGACCCTACGAGATACAAACTGAACTGCTACCTTCCTTTACAGCCTGGCTCTATCCTTTTCTATAATTACCGGATCACCCGTTATCTCAACCTCTGAAGGGATCATACATCAAAGCTGAATATTATGATTAATTGCAATGAGGTTATGTATGTCTGTATGTACGTCGTTTGCGTGCCCGGCATTTAGCCGAGCACATAACGATAGAAGGGACATGAGCAGGAGGAAGAAATTAGACGGCGAAAAGGATACTAGATACACAAGAAACCAACCCGTCATGTACGTAGCATAGCTCGTCTAGCTCCGATGCCGGCCAGACTGACCACCATAAAGACACATTAGCTCCAGGGCCCTAGGGTGCCTCGACAACTAGAAGCGGGCTAACGTGGCCCTGTCGCGTGCTGTCAGCGACCGCTTGCTCGTGGTGCTCGCCTCGGTAGTAGAGTTGCCGTTCAAGATCACCCACTCGGCCACGGTTGCACCCTTAGTTGTGTTCGCGCTTGCCTGGTTACCTGCTATCAACAGGGTGGCGAATCGTGCACTGCGAACAGGCCCACTTAGAGTGATAGTTGTGGTGTTGCCACTAGGGATAGAGACAGTGTTGGCCTTTTCGATAGCGGCGCTGTTATAGGGACTCGACTGGGTCACATCGGACAGCTGGGCAATGAGACGGTAAGAAGAGGTGGAGTTGCCGGAAGCAGCGAAGAACTGTGCAGGCCGCGTGATGGGCGCATCGTGGAAAATGATGCTTAGATTCTTGGGGGGAGACTGGTACCAGTCAAAGTAGAAACCAGTTACACTGTCGGCGGATTGCGCGTTGACTGTAGAAAGGGTCACGGTGATCGAAGACAGATTTCCAGAAGAAGGTTGCCAGCGAGTCGAGGTGGCACCATCAACGGCGGAAATAGGGAACTGACCAGGCTCATAAGCATCAGGCGAGTAGACCGGATGGCACTGAACCTGGTTGCCCGGAGTGGTGTTGATGGACCCAATCTGACGGTTAGGGATTGTCAAAGACCCGAAAAGAGGAAGAGTGTAGCTAGCCGTGGTGTCGCTCGTAGACAGGCCGACCTGGACGGTGATACCGGTGCTGTTGAAGCGAACATCGGCTGAAGCTAGAGGTGCCACAGAAGAGGAGCGCTGCAGAGTGGTGTGGGTGTAGTTTGACCAGGTGGAAATCGGCCAACCGCGCCAGTAGAATGTCCGGTAGGTGATGTGCGGGATCTGGGGTGGAGGGTTGGGATCCACGTGGAGGATATCATCCGGCAACAGACGCAGCCCCAGATAGCCAAATAGAACAACCTGGTTGGCACCACCGTGTCCAGTCAGGAAGGGAAACGCCGGATGAGTGCCACCATTAATACTGGCATCGTCGATCATCTGCTCAGAGAGCTGATACCAAGGGCCTCGTGAGTAGGGCGCATAGGAATATTGATGGTAGGTGTAGGCAGAGCAGCCAGACGGAGAAACATCGCTGGCAGCAATAGAGAAGATAGCATAAGTCATGGCTGGGCCATCGGCGGATTGCTTGTTTGCATACTGCACCAGTTAGCATACCCCCAAACGACATGGTAAGAGACCACTTACGTAGTCGAGGTCCGTCAGCGAATTCTCGGTGGTATAATTGTCAGACTCGTAGGCCAAGGGAAACGTGTTGAGTACAATATCAGCCTGCTTTACAACGGCCGATCCATTCATCGAAGTGTACTCCAAGGTTACACCATTCTCGCGTAGTATCAAAACGTTCTCCGCAATCTCATCCCAGGTCTCGTTCGCCTCCAGCCCAAATTGCTTGCGAAACTGGTTGGCATACTTCAGGGTCTCAGCAATAAGTGGCATGGTATAACCACCGGCATCGATTGAGTTCGCGTACTCGTCCTAAAGGAATCAGCTGATATTCGTATGATGTATCTTGCAGACTTACCGGATCGGTCATATTAGTCAATGTGAACGCTGACCCGTTTCGCTGAACAAGGTCTCCGTAGAGCGTGGCTACCGAATCGTAGATCGGGAAAAGATAATTGCGAAACCATTCCGTGTCACCACTAGTTACCCATTGATTGATCATTGCAAGACCAATGTCGCCATTCAGATGGTACTGGTAATCCCAGCACGGCCCCGTAGCAGTGCAATTTCCGAATCGACCGCTCGTCCACGGATAGATTGCGGCAGAAGAACTGAAGGAAGTCTGGTTCTGTGAACCTGCAAACGCAGTCTTGACATTGGCCTCGGCTTGATAGTGCAAGGCAATGCGGTAGTTGGTGTAGCGTTGTGCCGACTCAGGATGCGACGCCACCAGTCCAGGTTGCATCCACAGATCCGCATCCCAAAAGATCTGGCCAGCATAAGAATCCGAGGTCAGACCACCGACAGCGCAACTGTCAATGTTGACAGGCATTCCACCTGTGGTTGCAAGTGTGTTAGGACCTGCAGTGTTCTGCAGCAGGTAATACGTGTTGGTAACGGCAATAATGGCCGAGTCAATAATGTGGCGGTCCGCAGGTAGCTTGCCAGTGATAGGGTCATTGAAACGATCGACAGCACTCTCATGCAGAATCTCCGCCCATTCTGCGACGTGCGATTGCAGCGAGCGGGAGTAACCCAGAGCCAGCCCGGCTTGAGCAGCAAGCTTGGCGGTTTCGCGGGTCACCAGGAAATAGTCTGTGGAAGCTGCGCCAACGAACTTGGTGACGCGGACGGCCTCATTGGCAGTGAAACGAACGTTGACTGCCTGAGCAATAGAGGAGTCATTCGTGTGTACGTAGGGCTTATTGGTGACGAGCGTTCGAGAAGACAGATCAACATTGTCTGAGGCATCTAGAGTGGCATAGATGTATGCAGTGACGTTGCTCACACCCCATGGCCGCACAGCAGAAAAGATGGCCCCTTCGTCCTCTCCCGACTCGACAAAGTCGGTGCGGACAGCCGAATATCCATCCAACACGTTGACAACCGTTGCGTTGCCATCGGTCGAAGGTACAATTTCCAAGTCTACCACAGCCTGGTTGACACTCAGCTTGTGCGCGAAGAGTCGATAAGTGATAGCATAAGATCCTTTGTCGCCGGCAGGGGTCCAGGTATAGGACCAGGACAACACACCAGCCTTGTAATCGAAGGTTGATTGAAAGTCAGTGATGGTCTGATTGTCGACTCCTGCATCAAGGTAAGTGTCGTCACCCAGGTCGAGGATCAAGCCACTCCAGTGTGGAACGCCGCTGATAACACTATCGCTGCCATACTGAGACAACCAGGGAAAATTGGACTTATTTGTCAATGGCTGACGGTCCCAAAAGCCGGCAATGGTCGCAAAGGACTGGCGACGGGAGTAGAGTGGCCATCCGCTGATCACATCACCGTTCTCCTCCGAGTCCATCTCGAAGAAAGGGCCGACATTGGCGACATTGATGCCTATGTAACCATTGGCGATCGAGCCCCGAGATTGGAAGTGACCCTGGTCGACGGTAGTAGTCGTGAGACGCCAATTGTCATCGTCCCAGGTGACACCCGCGAACCGGGTTGGGTAAACACCGGAAGCATTGTTGCTCGATGGCTGGACAAAATCACGGCCACCGTAACGATGAAGGGCGGAGGCAACACGAGCCTGTCGATGGGGGCCTCCCTCGACAGCAGCAGGGAGAGCCAATCCCAGAGACAATAAGTTTACCAGCGACTGGGTTCATTAGCTTCCTCTCTCTCTGAAGGCAGTGTGTGTCTTTGGTATCTGTGGGGTAAATACCTTGAGCTGCATCTTGCTGCGCCGGCAGGCCGTCACAAGAGAGAGCAGTGAACCCGTGCGGAGATCGTATCCGACAGTACTGCAAGAGCAGAGCAGAGGAAAAGGAGAAACGCAGCGACGCGGAGAATGAGAATTTAAAGACCAAGCCTAGACAGACAAAGTTCCTGCGATCGGAGATTTGGCTGCGATGGACGATCCACCCTCGTGTCCAAGTGTGGGAATGCCAAGGTCGATCGGCTGCACGAAGGTGAAACTAGGAGAATTGAGGCGACTTAGGGGAAGAAGATTAAAGATAGATAGACCAGACATCGCGCAGAGAAGAGAAGAGGGAATTGAGGGGGATTTAAAGCAAAAGATGACGGGGAAAGCGACCCGGATGGGCCGATGGGTCAGGGAGTGAATGAATCTTGGGCATGTTGGACATACTCGTACTAGGGGGGAAATGGGGGAGAATTCACTTGGAAGTGGAAGCGGAAGCGGAAGCAGAAATTGATGGCGTCAGTGACAGGCACCAAAAGTCCAATCACGGGGATCCCAGCCAGTCATCTGAGAATGTGGGGAAGCAACAGCCACCGGCTCTGTCCGGGGACTGGGAATTGAGGCCACTAATTGGATAGAGGACCCATTTTGCCTAGAATTCCAAGGTCAAAGAACGAACTTACTCATACTTACTTACTACTGCAGTAGAAGCAAGTTGGCTGGGAATCCTGGGAATATAGTTAAGTTACCTGCAATGACACCATGCTGAGCTGTACCTTGGTATAGTTGAGGGGATGAAGAGGGAAAAGACAAGCCAACTCAGGGTCTTGCGGGGTAAGACTCCGCAGCCACCGCAAGCCACCGCAGCCACCGCAGCCATGTGTTCGGCTGTGGCTGGTGGCCGGGCGGTGGTGGTGGTGGTGGTGGTGGTTGCCTGGTTGGATATTGACTGCCTGGATAAACAACAAATGAAGAGATAATGATATAGAAGCTCGCACACAGTTTTTCTATTTTCCACCGTATCAGCATCAGTCACCTTCCTCACCAACATGTCTCCGTACCTCGCGGTCGCCATCTTCCATCCTCGCTATGGCAACTTCCAGCATTGGGCCCTCCATCTTCACTCCGACACCGAGGATCACCTGTTCGAAGTCGACGGGGAGCACCCAGGTTTCACCAAAGTCACTTCCCACGGCCACCCCCGGAATATCCCCATGTACATCCAGTCAATCAGGGTCTCGGACATTGGCAGTGTGGACATCCCCACTATCCAGGCTGTCGTGGACGCCGCCCTGGTAGACAACGAGACCCTCGAGTGGGACTGCCAGGACTACGTGCTCGAACTCCTCGAGGGGTTCGAATGCGAGGCGGTCATTGATGATGATAACCCCGATTATCTCGAGGCAATCGAGATTCTTCGCAGTAAGCGGGGTCCGATCCTATGATCCTCGGTCCTAGCGTGCACCGGTGTACAAAGAACGGAGGAACCGACAAAGGAAAGGCACCCAAGAGAAAATCGATCCATCTACACATCGCGTCATATTTCGATCATTTCCTGGTGGAGATAATAAGTCCGGTGCATCATGCTCGCATCAAAGCCACCATTCGCCTCCATGCCTCCCCTCGTAACGCCTGTGCTGTATCCCTCGTCCGCTGCATCGCGGACTGATTCTCCACCGCCCGCCGCAGCAGAAAGTGTAGACACTCCTCCGTGGAACCCCAGGCCAGGCACTTGAAAACCCCGGGCTTCGCTTCCGCGTGACCTCCAGCAACGACCATTCCCAAACTAACCTCGTCCGCCATCCCCTGCAGCTGACCCACCTCGACAGGAATCGTCTTCCGGCCTTCCCTTTGTCGTTGTTGGTAGAGCGCGCACGCCTTGGCTACACTCTCCCCGTTATGCGAAGCTACGAACAGTCGCACTGTTGGAAGATCCTCCGCCCTCTCGGATCGAAGCTCAGACCCTGCCCCTCTCGAGATGGAGGGGTAGCAATTTTCGATCAGCGCCCTCACAATTCCGTTATAGTTTGCGTCTGTCTCCTCTTTAGTGTCCCAGATCCTGTCCCGTTGATCATGCGCAATATACGCCCCTCGGACCAACTTCACACCTACCCCCCAACCCTCTTGTCGCGCTAGACGCAGATGACCAGCGAGGATGTCAGCCGAGCGCTTCAGATAGGCCTGGTAGGTATTCAAAACAACGATCGGGGGTTCCTTCTGAGGTGTCTCGGAACTAGGACGATTGAACCTCCTCATTAGATCCACCGCCCAAGAATCAATCGCCGCTTGAAAAACTTGCTGCTCCGCGTCGATCCATAGCCGGGATTTCTGCGCTGCTACGGCTGCACATATCTCATGGATGGCAGCTGCGATTTGCGGCGGGGGATGGGGATCATTCCGCGTGAGTGAGTGAACCGCCAGCGGACCAGCGCCAGTGAATCTAGTTAGGGGTCATATATCAGCAACTAAATACCTCGGTGTATTTTAACCGCCCATCCACCCAGCGACGGAGAAATGCATACTTAACAGCCAAGTAGTCCCCCTCACCCAACATCTTCAGAGTGCGTAGATTCCCCTCTTTCCATTCATTGACCGCCTGTTCCCACTGTGCCTGTTGTAGCTGTCCCTGCAGCACCGCGGCAATCGTTTCCTGATGAGAGCTCGGGCTCACTTGTGCGATCGACTCTCTCGCGTACCCCAGAATCACGCCCTTGAAGCCCAGCCGTTTCATCTCCCGGACCGTCTGGCGAACTTCGATCTCGTTGGTCCCCGCGCAGAAGTGATCGTAGATGGAGCGACGGAGGAGATAGTCCATCGCGGCGTTGGAGGAGGGACGCAGCAACTTGGAAGGGGAGTCAACAAGCAACTTCATGAGCGACAGACAGGGCGTCAGCAGAGGCGATGCCATCACGCTGGTAAGGAACAGAGAACGCAGGAAGGTTCGGGTCGGGAGGCCGGCGAGGGGGGCGGCCGTTACAGACGAGGGCTGCGCGGCGGAGGTTGTCCTCGTTGCAGGAAAAGCAATCTCATGATGATGAAGATGATGATGTTGATGATGCGCTGTATTTTCGGTACCACTCGCTGTCGGCACCGTAGTAGTTGCCGCCTTCGTCGGTGAAGATCCCGCTATGCGCGAAGTAGTAGAAGTCGAGATACAGAGCCTGTGACAGAACACCAGAGGATCCAGCCGCGGCCGCGAAACGAGATGAGATGCTCGAGCTTTCATTTTCACACACAAGGTCCTACGGACACAATCACAGAGAGTCAGTCAGTAAGCAGAGGAGGATTCCCCGCTCAGCCTATATTTATACCAATGCGCCCTTGAGATGACCGCAGGGTGGGATTGATGACCCCTTCCATGCCACCTTTCGGCTCGAGATTCCCTCCGGTGGACCCCCCGATTGGCTTCCGTCGAGGCGGGATCGTCAGCAGTTGCATCTGCCCAAAGTTAACTTATCGGTTCAGCTGCCCACCAGTGCCCACTGCCCGCGGGGTGTTCGGCTTCTGCTGCCGCTTGCTGGACCACTCAGCATTACTGTACCCAAAGGTGTTATCAACTTTCCAGTGTTGTTAGTTCGTGAACTTATCTTCGGTTTTCACCCGTCTTAAAGGCGGGGAGGGAGGGAGGGGGTTTGTCGTACGACCTTATCAATGCGGATCCTTCTGGCTCAATGTGAGAGAGTAAAAGAGTAAGGTAGTAAACAACTGGGACCAAGACCTCCAATCATCAAGTCATCTCGCCTTGAAACCTTGAAACCGAATTCTCAAGAACCACAAAGAATCCCTTAGTCAGGAAGCAAACAGTGACATAAAATAGGTAAACCGAGTATCAACCAACAAAAACGATTCACAGGTGGAAGGAGGGTAGAATAATACTGATTGATACTTTGGCTTCTCGTATGAACGAAAGCAATCTTCGGGTTCTGCTTCCGAAGGTGAGAGAGAGACTCTCCGCGCTTCAACCCCAACGCTACCGCTCCCTCTTTCAATGTCACACCGGACAGTTTTGGAGATCGCGACCCCTCTTCCCCCTTGCTTCTTCTGTGTCACTCCTAGAATATGTGGGATAAGTCAGATTTATGTAATGCTTTTGTGTTACCGTGCCTGTTGAGGGAGTTTCGAGGTGGTTGGTTGTTTGAGGCGGTCAAGCGGGGTGGAACAGAGGTTATCACAAATGGTGGTATGCCGTGGTAAATTGATGGGTTAATTCCTCGGAGGATTCAATTCAGAACCGCGCCTTGTTCAATACCTCAAGCAAGATAAAGTTCGTCTTCTTTTGTGGCCGATAATGTAGGAAACAGAAGTTGTGCTCATATTTGCAAGGCTAATGCTAATAATAATTACATCAAAGATTAGTCGGTCAGGGCAGCGCCCATATCAGCTTATTTTCCGTCATCAATTTACCATTGGCAGCGGTTACCTAGCCGAGCAATGGACAGAGCGACCGATATAGGCGAATAGACAGATGCCGCCCACTCCTCCTACCAAGGCATACTCAGAAGGGATGCCACCACAGCTCATCGCCTAATTATCAACGGCAAACCGGTCCAAGAACTTGAATGTCCTTAATCCCTCAGTGAACTTATCAAAGAACGAGTCCGATGCCTCGTCTGCAACGTAGACTCCGTCTCTCGAGGTCGCAATGCCTGCACTCTTCAGAGCTCCGGACCCACTTCCCAGCGCGGCAACGGGCTTTCCGAAGCGGAACCCATCAATGAGGATCTGCAGCGGACGGCCCGCCGGATACAAAGTCGTGGCGTTGCCCTGAGGAGCAGTCAACGAGGTAGCTGCAAACAAACTCTCCGCTCCGGGGGCGACAACCAGTGCATCGAATTGAATGGCATCGGAGGCGGAGTAGGTCTGGCTGACACCACTAGCGAGACGCTCCGCCACAACAACCACGTCAACGTTCTTCTTGGCCAGAGAGTCGGTGAGAGTTTTGGCAGCGGCTATAGAAGAAGGGCTCTGAACGGAAGCGAGGTAGCCGACTTTGAGGCCGTCCAGCTTTTTCAGCGGGGTGCCGAAGCTGCCGACCCCAGCCGTGGTGTTGGTGTGGTAGTAAGTTGGGTCAGGAGCAGGAGGACTCACGCCAATGGCGCGGGCCACACGACGGGCAATATCGTTGGAGATGCGATTAAGCTGGAGGACAACATTCTCCCGAACGACAGAGCTTTGTACGTTGGCGTTCTCGAAGCGGATTGCGTCAATCACAAATTGCTGCTCTGCGGGCGAGAGAGAGTTGTAAAAGAGTCGGGGCTGAGACCAAACATCAGAGAATGTAGGAGAGGTGCTACGAAGGTAGTTTCCATTAGCAACACGCCGGGGCGCTGTAAAAAAGCCATTGCCAACAGTCTGGTTGGCTTGCTTCGGAGACCCGCTGTTCAGGGTGTTCGGGCTGTAGGCGTTGGGGTTGAGGGGGATGAACATTTGGCCTGCCAGGTTTAGCTATAAGGGTAGCATGGATGAGGAAGAAGACGTACCGGCACCGTCACGGTTATTGTTGTGGACAGGCACACGAGGCTGGTTGATGGGCAGTTGCTCAAAGTTAGGCCCGCCGTGCCGATTCAGCTGGGTGTCAAGGTAGGAGAAGAGACGCCCCTGGAGAAGAGGGTCCTCGGTGAAGTCGACACCACGGACGATGTGACCGGGTTGGAACTGGAACCTTTAGCATGCTGGTTTACACATCGGGATAGGGAGCACACACCATAACCTGCTCGGTCTCCGCAAAGTAATTGCGAGGATTGCGGTTGAGGGCCATTTTGCCCAGCTTTGTGATAGGAACATATTCCTCTGGAACGATCTTGGTCGGGTCAAGAAGATCAAAGCCAAAACGCAGCTGGTCGGCTTCATCCATAATTTGTACGCCGAGCTATGTGGGTCAGCAGTGCGTCGCCTCGAAAGAAAAGGTAAAAAACGTACCTCCCACTCGGGGTAACGGCCTGCCTCGATGGCCTCGTAGAGATCCTGGCGCAGGAAATCGGGATTCTTACCCGATACCTGCTGGGCTTCCTCCCAGACCAGACTGGCCTTACCTTGCAATGTTTTCCAGTGGAACTTCACCAGTTTAGTTGCACCGCTGTCTGTAACCAGGCGGAAGGTGTGAACTCCGAATCCATCAGTGAATCGGAACGATCGTAGAATACCGTGGCCAGACATCGCCCAAAAAAGTGTATGTAATGAGCTGGGCTGCTGGCTGAAGAAATCCCAGGCGGAGTCGTGTGCCGTGGCAGCCTGAGGGATTTCATTGTCACCCCGAGGCTTGACTGCATGAATGAGATCCGGGAATTGGATAGCATCCTGAATGAAGAATACAGGGATGTTGTTTCCCACAATGTCTGTGAAGCGTTAGTATAGGTCTCGAGCAGATTACCGGAAGACTGACCAAAATTGCCCTCGTCGGTGTAGAAACGAGTTGCAAAACCATGAACATCACGAGCCAAGTCCGAGCTACCGCGACTACCCGCGACAGTAGAAAAGCGTACAAACACAGGTGTCTCCTTCCCCTTCTCAGAAAGAAAGGAGGCAGCCGTGAGATTGGAGTAGTCTCCGTAGGAAACAAACACACCATGGGCACCTGTTCCACGAGCATGAACAGCACGTTCGGGAACCTATATGGTCAGCTTAGATCACCACGGTAGACATGGAACCTTACTCGCTCATGGTCGAAACGTTGAATCTTTTGGCGAAAGATAAAGTCTTCCAGCAAGGTGGGACCACGCTCACCGACGCTGAGGCTGTTCTGGTCTTCGATAGGACCGCCTACGTCACTGGTGAGATAGGTGTTATTGTCGTTGAGGTAGTACTGGGAGAGAAACTCCTCAGTGGCTTCAGAGGCGTCGGAATCATCACGCCGGGTGAGCTCGCCAGTCATATACGGACAGGCGGCTTGTGCGACGGCAACGAGGCCGAGAAGACCAATTGAGCGCATTTTTCACGCTGCTTGTCTATGTAGAGTTCCAAGTGAGCAAATCATCGGCCTAGGGTGAAACAGAGGGTCAGCCGACATTGACTCACCAGTACCGGCAAGAATCTGACACAGAGCGACACGACGCTAGAAGAAAGACGTGGGGAGGCCGAAAATTGGGGGGTGGGGGAAGGGAGCAGGAGTGGCTTATATAGAGTCGCGAAGCGAGGGGAAGGAGTGAAGAACCGGGCCAGCATCCACGGCAATCGGGAATCAAAATGAGAATAGCACGAACATGTCCAATGCGACTTCCCGTGGCCATTGGGAGAAAGCTGGGCAAACGGGCCATAAAACTGGAATATCGCCCGAGCAGACTGTCCCTTGCCGTCTCTGGCTGGAGATGATGCCTTGCTGCAGCAGGTGATCGTGAGAAATATGCTTCATTCTATTGGTTTGTGCAGGTGGAACAGTTGCAGCCCATCCCAGAATGGTTTTAGTTTTACGAGCCAAGAACGTGGACGAAATAGTTAATCATCCAATTGCTGTTGCTTGGTGGTTGGATTATAGGTGGGTGGATGTGAGCAAGGTTGAGGATTGACTGATCCAGCCGTTGTCGATCGTGGCTTGCCCATTGATAACTATTCCGTCCCACTGCTTGGTAATGATGGAGGGTCTCGATGGTCGGCGGAGCGTCGGAGCCGCGACAGGCTGACTTGGATCAGGCAACATGACGTGATACTTGTCGAGGTGAAGAAGAGAGGTGAACAAATGTGAGAATGTGAGATGTGCTTAGAGAAGCATAGACCATGTTTAGTGGACTGACCCAGTGGGGAGTTCCGTGTTGGATGATCCCAATGAAAGTGAGAGAGAGAGAGAGTGTGTGTGTATGTGTGTGAAAGAGACGTACGGAGGTTGACAAGAGAAGGAACGCGTCTCCCGCCAAGCAGCCAAGGGCGAGTTTCCACTACCACTACAGAGATTACAGGGAATCTGCACCTCCCCTGGCTTTCTATCACACCCTAACCACTACTACTTCCTACTATTGCACTACTCCTGCACGCAGTGTGCACTCGCTGCTATTTTGGGATCTCCCCTGGTCAGCAACCCCGGTTAAGAAAAACGTGATGATCTCCACGACCGCTGCAGGAACGACACAACCGAGCAGAGAATATGCGATAAGTTCTTTTGAACAGAAACAACAATGTGTTATAGAGTATATACATTTAATAGGATGGAGAAAGCTACCAGAGAATTGCTCATTAGTACTCACAGAATCACACCAGAATTAAGCGATGAAGATAACCTTGGTACTACGCTCTATGTAGGTAAGAAAGAAGGTGTTCCAGGGCGGGGTATCCGAGTAAGCTTACCCGTAACGGGAACTAGCTACACCTTAGGTAACTTACAGTAACTTACTAGGTACTAACCTCCAGGCTGACTTGGTTCAACGGTTAACATACAGTACTTAGTTAGGTAGTTACTTGCAAAGCATCATATCTTCTAGCCCTCAATCGTTTCCCAAGTTTAGGTCTCCAATGGGATACCCCGAATCTAGCGACTAGCAGCCCCAAAATTCAAGCTGTTTGCTTACGGGTAGGCTGACACTCGTTCCTAAAGTGTGCTTGCTGCTCATCACTGGTATACCAATAGATCGGCTGAGATGGTTTTCTAGCCGGGATTACGGTGCCGCTAGGGATGTGTGTGTGCATTCCCTAGTTCAAGAACTCAACTCCGTTATTGATATTGGTTATAACCAGTCACAACCATGACCTATCTGACAAAGATCTGGGCTCGGGCTAGACTCTTGCGCTCACTAATCAGTCGGCAAGACTTTCTCCGAGCTCCAGGACAGTACCTTAGCTCCCGCCACCCACATTATCATCGATGAACTGTCGTCCTCCGAAGAGCCAAGCTCAACTTCTCCAATCATGTCTGTTCCATCCAGCAACGAACAATATTAGAAACACAATCTCAATGGTTCATACCTATGTTCATCCTCTTTCAGGATCCCCGCTCTTGCCCTAAGAACATCATTAAAGACACCCGCTGCACATATCACCAAGATATACCAACATCAGAGACCAGCCACCATCACTACCACCTCCGGACTACGCGACTGGCTGGGCAATATTCGCATCGCCGCCAGGTCCTGGATCATTCAAGCCGTGATACACATCTGCCATAGGGCGACGAATACACACATCCATCTTATCGAAATTGATCTCATCGTTGAGAAAGTCCTGCACATGGTAGAACCTCATCATACTGTCTAGGCGAGTGGACCAGGGGTCAAAACTGCGACAAACCGGTTATGATACTTTCTTATCTGGAATCGAGCACCAGCCGACTCTGGCAGAGAACTTACATGCGCTGTACAGGCACCCCGTTGACCCTGGTTGAATCTCTCTCATGATCCCAGATCATCATTGCCGGCATCGCCAGGTCTGCCACAATCTGTCTCACCGGGCACTCGGGTCGACATGCGAAAACCACGGTCTCCTCATCGATAACGAGGAACCCCTCCGGATCTTGTAGCACCTGTACCCCGAACTGCCGGATGACCTCAATATCCCGCTCAAGGTACGTCTCATTCTGCACGTATACGCGAACCTCCTGCCCAGTGGTCTCGAAGTTGCGGGCGTCAAGGTACTCCTTCAGCGCGATGAGAAATGCATGCTGGTAGCGAGCACGGGAGTTGTTGGACGGCTGGCCTTGCATGTCGCGGGACATACTGCCGCAGTCGAACCCGATGATCTTGGTGATCCGGGGCATCTTGGGGTACTCGTCCAGCAGGTGCCGGAGCAGCTGGTAGTAGGGGCTATTCCGCCAGAAGTGGAGAGTGGTGAAGAGGTTCAACCGGACCTTCTCGAACGCGGTAACCCCATATTCGAATCTCTCCTTGGTGATCGGGTCGCGTGTGATGACTCGGTGGGCGACGCGAATACTGCAGGGGATGGTGTACACTTGATTGGGTATGACACCGCTTTCCAGCCTTTGAATGGGCATGAAACACAGACGAGGTTTCCCACTAGCATACGACGGCCACCCAAAATGTTAGCGTTTGTGTCTCTTCTCTCGTGCGACTGAAGAAATTCGGGGAAGTATACGCACAGCTCACGCTCATATCCATCGGCACCAGCCCAGACTCTGCCAGTATTGATGATAAAGTCGACACTAGTGCCGTCTATGGCCATGACCTTGATGGCATCGCCTCGTTTGCTGACCTTCAGCTGACCGTACGCGTTCAGAATCGCCTCACGGGTATAAAGAGGCACCCCGAGTTTGTACAGCTGCATACATTTGAGCATCTCCTCTCCATCATTCTCCAGGCGGCGTGGCTGGCTGCTGCCAGGCGTGAGCCTAGCTACCGTGAACATGAATTGCACTTGACCATCATCGCCGGGTAGTGGCAGAGGCATTCTGAAGAATCAAAAGGGGTAGGAAACCTCAACGTAAGAAGAATTGTCCACAAAGTAATTCCCGCTATCAAAGAAGAAGGGAAAAGAACGAGAACTTTTTTTAGTGAGCTTCACTTTCCAACACGATGGTACACTATGCTGACGGTACGTAGAGAGGTTGATGAAGAGGCTTTACAAGGACGTTGATGGAGATGGAGAGAGACTTGAGGTGTTACCGGTTGTTGAAGAGTCGAGCGAAGATGAGAGACGCGTGTAAGGAACTACGAACACGTCCCTCCTTTTCCCGGTGTTCTGTGAATATACCTGACTTGACATGGGATCCACACCTTCATCTGACTGGCATCTATTCAAATCCAGCTTTGCTAAACCAAGACATTTTACTATCTACAAGCCGCCCACGGGCCAATTCACTGATTAGTAGGAATTCAAGAACCGTGTTGATTCCTTTCTCCAAGTATGACTAGAGAAACGACAAGGAATGGAGAACCGATCATCTTACGAGTGACCTATAAACGGCTGTTTTGCAGACTTCGAGCCATTGAAATATGCTGGATCATATGTATGGAGACGAATAAGTGAGAGAGCTACCTTGGCTGCGACCTGAACATGACACGAAGCAAGATCTACACATTTATGATTCGGAATCTCACTGAATAGCGACACTGCGTCGATACAAAACAACCATAGAACAAATCAACCAAATCTTGGAAGACAAGAAGACAATTTGTTCCCGAGTCCCCGTCCAACACCACCTCGGTCCACTCCCTCTGCTTCTTACCTTTACCATAGAAAATATCCGACATCCATCGCCGAAAGACCGAAGCATACGGCAACGCATCCACGGGTGTTCAAATCTCACGTTCTGTGTGACAAATATACGAGAAAGGAGTAACGAAGTACGCAGTTCCCGCAAAAAATTATCTTAGGGTCGCGAGTCATTTTGACTTTGAGAAAAAGCAGTAAGCTCATCCAGAGATCCGGCGTCGTCGCTCCCTTTCTGCACAGGTTCATCTTCGCTTGTTGCTGAAGTGCAAGGACTGGTCACAGATGTTTTTACTGACGTGCTGACAGGACTATTGACTGTTGGACTGCTGGAACCGCTTGTCGTTGCGCTGGGCGTCTTAGAAGTAGAACTTTCAGGCGACCCAGAGGATTATTCGGCATTCTTCTGCGCAAATGCTTTGCCAAGCCGACGTACCTCCTGGCTCAAATCATCCGGTTGAATGCACAGCTCGAGAAAGGCAAGCTTATCGTGCTCGTCATATGCTCTCTTGAGGGCCGCTTCGAGATCTCTCTGCGTCTTGACTTGCAGGGTGAACAACGACGGATTACTTTCCATATACTCCTGCTTCTTGGTCGCATAAGGGTTATGAGAGGATGCATGAGGGCTTGCGGAGAGAGAAGCGGCCAGCTGAGAATAGTTCCAGTTGGCGATGTAGTTATACGGCCCATCGTGGACGGTCGTCTAAGGAAGATTGATCAGTGAATGCGAGGAAACATCTGACGGCGCTACATACCTCGATCTTGTAGCCAAGGTTGTTGAAAATGATGATGATCGGATTCAAATGCTGACGAACAATGGTGCTGACCTCCTGTGCGGTCATTTGAAACCCACCATCGCCGATCAGAATGATCGAACGGCCCCGCGAGCGGGCAAGCTGAGCGCCAAGTCCAGCCGGTAGTGCCCAACCAATGGAGCAATACGGCATTTGGATTTGGCAGTCTGTCCCGGGAGGAAGCCGTATATGATTAGCGAGAAACCAAGCCTCTCCTGCGTCACAAAGCATTGTGTCATCACTTCGCAGAATGTTTTGAATGCCATACATAGCATGCTCCAATGTTAAAGGAGCCTCAAGGTCTTCCGTTTGTGGAGGCTTTGCCCCCAGGGTCGGCTTTGGCCGTGGAACTGACTTGTGCTTGGGTTCCATCGATGATTGGGTAAGTTGTCTAACCACCGCGGCAAAGCCTATGCCTTGAAAGCATGTTTCATCGGGCAATTCGACCCAATCTTTGCCGATGCTGATCATGCGGCTCTTTGCTTCGTCAATGCTGGTGAAGATACCATGAAAGTCGCACCAATTTGCACCGACAACGAGCCAGAGATCAGAGTTCATGAAGACCTTTTCTCCTTCCGGATTTGTGAGACCATTCCATAATTGGCCACAATACTGCGGGTGCGATTCAGATATGCAGCGGCCATCGGGCTGGCAAAATACGGCACAGCAGAGTCTATCAGCTAGGGCTTCAATGTCATGCGCGGGAAGCAGACGACGCGCAAGGCTCCCAAAGAGGAGGACAGGCTTCTCCGATTTATTCCAAGCCCCAGTGATAGCATTGACGGCTTCCTCATTTCTGCGAGTTTGGGTTATTGTCTTAGATATTTCGAACGGAGAAGGAGGGGAGCATGCAGCTCCTGCAATATCATTGGGAACTTCAATAAAAATGGGAAGGGAGGACGCGAGACACTTGCTTATAGCGTCATCCAAGGCTTGAACAGCTGTTTCTGCTGATTGAAGACGAATAGAGGCGGCAGTGACGCCCTGATAGGCATCGAGAGCTTGTTCTCTGTTCGTTGCGCTAGGTGCATGATGCAAGAACTTCCGACTAGATAGCATCCCTGTTGTTGGGCAACCAGAGAGAACGATGATCTTGATGTTTTGAGAGCAAGCGCCTGCCACTGCATTTAGGGCTGAAAGAGCCCCTACCACATATGGTACGATAAGAACGGCGATGTTCGCGGGCGAAGTTCTGGCGTAGCCATCTGCTGCGTAACCTGCATTGAGCTCGTTACAGCACCCAATCATTCGGAGATTGGGATTCTTGAGCAGATTATCCAGAAGTACAAGGTTTGTGTCCCCTTCAAGAAGTTAGTAGAGCAAAACCACTAACTTGAGCAAGGCTCTCACCAGGCACAGCTAGGAAGTCGCGGATTCCGAGCTCCTCCAAACGATACGCAATGTAAGTGCTGATATTGAAGCTCTCTTGATAGAATGTAGGCTTTGGGAAAGTCTCCTCGGATCGAGTGTTCTCACTGAACGAGGGGATCTTGACTGTTGCCTGCCCCAGCAAGCTACTTTCGTATCGTGAGCTTGGCCTATGAGAATGATTCTCGGGGTATTCCTGGTGTACGGCTTGAAGCATCTGAGGTAGTTCATCAAGCGATATAACATGAGAAGGTTGATAGAACTTATTCTTAATGAATATGTCGATAGCCTTTTCAATCTGCTCTCTCGAACCGCCGTAGGGAGACGACTTGATTTGACCCATTCGCAGCAGCAGGTTAGACATGTCCAAACCTCCTGTTTTTCCTGGGGGCTTCCCCACAACAACAATAGACCCTCGAGGCCGAACATACTGAGTAGTATCCTCTAGAAGTGCTTCAGTGCCCTCGATCATAATGGCCGCGTCAGGACCACCGACGGTTAGCTTTCGGACTTCCGTCACAATGTCTTGGGATGTATGGTAGTCCACATAGAAATCAACCCGAAGATTGTCCTTGTATAAAATCTGACCCTCACCTCCAGTGGAGATTGCAAGTACCCGACAACCATGGGCTTTAGCGTACTGGCATGCCAGTGATCCGATGCCACTTGCGGGTCCAACAACAGCTTGTACCAGTCAGTAACTACAAACCAGGTACGTACTTTTGGTACGTTGTCGCACTTACCTAAAATGTCGCATTCTGCTACCTCGGTTTCTTCCACAGCTCTGAAGCATGTGGTTCCGGCACAAATTATAGGTGCCACGGTGTCGAGGGGATACTCCTTCGGGATACGGACAGCATGACGGGCTTGAATGACGCAGCAAGTGCCAAAGGTCCCGTCAACAGAGAAGCCCGTCATTTGGGCTTGAGAACAAGCCAGAAAGTCGGCCCGCTTGTCGGCCTCACAGACACCACAAGTTTTGTTCACCCACTATTGCTCTGTCAGCTTTCAGCAGTTGCGAAAGCCTGGGAACGGAATATACCTGCACGCCCACATGATCTCCAACTTTGATGTCTTCTACTTCACTTCCAATAGCCGTCACGATACCCGTGCCCTCATGTCCCTCTTGCCTCTTGTTAGCAGGATTTAGGTGAGTTGGTTAGAGAACGTACCGACGCGCTTTTCTCTTTTGATGGTTGAAGGCGTGCCTGTTTCCGAGTCAGATCGCATCACGATGAATAAGGCTGAAAGAGTCACCTTTCCATGCATGAATATCGGAATGGCACAGACCCGAATACTTTAGTTCGACTAGAACCTCATCAGGTGCGGGCGATGGAACGCAGCTCTTGCAAATCGAAGAGTCTAATTGGTCAGCGGAGGGGGTATAAAAGAAGAGGGAACAACCTGGCTGACTGGAAGTGGATTCGTTGCTGGCCTGAGCACCCCACATCATGCTTGATGTGGCTTTGATATGGCTTTGTATCGTGCCTGAAAGAATAAGAGTGATCTTAGGAAATGACAATATAGAACAATAGACAATGAAAGTTAACATGCAATGTATTATCAAGGTGTCACCATCAAAACTTGGCTTCACCCGGCGCAGGCCGCACTTTTATACACCTTTCGAGGTTTGATGAAGACACAGCCCCTCCGTGTAAGAATTCAAAGTTCAGCGCTAGAGTCTAATGGCAATGAGCTCAAGAAGTTGGCGTCGTTGAAATGTGGGTTAATCAAGAAGGGGTAGAGGTCAGTGTCCATCACCTCTAAGAAGGAATTTGATTACCTCATTCAGTCAGCAACTTCCTCATCTCAGAAGGTGGGTTTCTCTCCGTCTGCATGCCTCGGGACCAATTTCCATTGCCAGCTGCACAATTACTGACACAAGCAGTCTGCGCGAACATAAGGAGTGTTCCTCGGACGCATGTTAAATCTTTCTAGCATTCCTTGCCGTCCACAGAAACTCTCACGTGTCAATCTTCAAGTGCTTTTGATAGTTGCTCCATCATCTGAGATGCATTCCTGGACGCTCTTTTGGCTATCTAAGAGCTAACTTGTCTCCCGTCACAGATGGCCTCAATGTACGTCCTTTAGTATGCATTACGCGGATCGAGGACTACTTTCTCGCCGCATTACAGCAAAGAAGCAATCTCTCACTCATATTCGGAGGATAAGGATAGACTTTCGATGACGGAAAAATACATTCCAGGAAGGTCTATGATCGTGTGGTGGTGGCTAATTTAAGGTTAAGCCATCCTCTCTTGGAGAGGATACTGTGTTCGACCGTTTACGGTGAGGCTTTGAATTGAACGTACTGCGCAGGTGAGGATCATTCCTCAGCCGATGTGCTTGTATTATACGGTGTATCTTGGGTCTTGAGCCTACCAAGTTGAGCAGTTTAGTGGTGTCCTAACCTACTCTCCACCCATGGATCGCGATTCTATGGCCTCTTGATCCAGATGATTTTCCATTTTCCGAACAGACACTCGAGACCCAAGTCAAATTCGAGATGCAGGGGTCCTGGATCCACTAGGAATGCTAGCGTGCATGACTGTCCTGCATGAAGACTTATCTGCAGATTCTCTGGCATTCGATTGAAGATCTATGACCTCTTTCCGCAGGGATCGACGCTGCACAAGGTAATCTTCACTAAAAACCTTAACCACGCTTTGCCTGATCGAATGACTGATCATCAGCATGTCCATAAGCGTGGAAATTGGGGCAAAACAATATCCTCATCTTATGAATTCGCTCATGATCTTCATCACTAAGCCGCAGGATTTACCAAATCCGGTAAACTTGGGTAAGGATAAAAGGGAGCTTGCCAGGTTGGTGATGGCTCAGGATGATGTTGAAACATTCCGAGGCTGAGCTGATCTCACTTAGCGCTGAAAAGTTACATTGACTCTCTAGCGTGCTCAAAAAGTGCCAAGATTGAGCTTAGCACATTTCTGCTCTCTGTCAGCCAGCATACAGACCTTGAATTACGATTGATGCGACTAAATGGTAGCAGTGACGTATTAGTCCTGCACATAAGCAGTTATCTAAAGATATGAATCTTATCTGGCATCAATATCGCTCCCCTAGAGCTATTATGGCGACTTGTAGATCTTCTAGACGCTGGAAGTACACAGCTCACAATACCTATTCCAGGTCGATCCCTTCTAGTACGTGATGTGAAGTTCCACTCACAAATGAGTGTCGTGTATCAAACACCGTGATTCCCATGTTTAAGCGGTCGGAATCGATATCGGAGACGATTTCTCTATTCTTGGGAAGAAGGCCAGCCGTCTCTAGCCACATTACCAGTGGATCGGGCAGGAAGGTTCGTATGAACCTGTTTATGATTGAGTCTATTGTTCCTAATTCCAACAAGCCGGGCGGGTGTGGCGCGATGGATTCATGGGCGGAAACGTGCCCACCGGAGCCAGGGGGTGCAGCCAATCACCTGCGGCCCGGTAACTACACTATCTCGTCTGCTCCACTTTGCGATAAGCCAAATTTTTCCATTGCCAAAGGCTCAATGGTAGTCATGAGGATGGTGTCTTCCTCCGACTTTGGGGTCGATGAAAGCTTGAGTGGTGCATACGCTTTGTGGCTTGAGTAGACACAGAGCACCCTCCTATTGAGCTTGCTTGACTTCCAGGCCGAAATGTCTCACAGCTCAGATCAGGATCGAGAGGTTGCTCTGGAGAAGGGCCCATCTCAATCCGTATGTCCGCAAGGACCCTACGGCGCTTCTGATGCGACCTACCCGGAAGGGGGGCTTCGTGCCTGGCTGGTGGTACTAGGGTCGTGGTGTGCAATGGTGCCTTCAATGGGCTTATTAAACACCATCTCCGTCCTGCACGCCTGGACATCCACCCACCAGCTGTCGAATTACTCTGAATCCAGCGTCGGCTGGATTTTTGGGGTTTTTAGCTTCTTTCTTTACTTTGCAGGCGCCCAAGTGGGTACGTTTTGCTTTGCATGCCCCTGTAGCCGGAATAAAACTGATCTTGTCCGTCAAAGGCCCCATCTTCGATAGTCGTGGACCACTGCCAGTGGTCATTCCAGGGTCCATTGGACTCATAATAGCAGTCTTCTGCTTCAGTGCCAGCACAGGTTAGCAACATGAACAAAATCAACGTCTGATATGTGCAGCAGGCTAACCTATCATCAGAATACTACCAGATCATGCTCTCATTCAGCGTCCTCGGCGGACTGTCGTCCTGCTTGCTCTTTACGCCTGCGATTTCTGCCATCGGCCATTGGTTCAATGTCCGTCGGGGTCTCGCCACTGGCATCGCATGCACAGCTGGCGGCCTAGGCGGCGTTTTCTTCCCGCTGATCATCCTCTATGTCGCGCCACATCTGGGTTTCGCGTGGGCGCTACGCATCATCGGGATCATCTGCTTCGTGCTGTGCGGGCTAGCATGCCTTCTCCTTAAGACCCGCCTCAAGCCCGATCCGAGTCGCCACATGAGCATCGACATCCACGCCCTCCGCGAACCCAACTACGCGCTCACGACCCTGGCCGTATGGCTGGTAGAGTTTGCGGTGTTCGTCCCGTACACCTATCTGTGCTCCTACGGCCTCTCCGCTAACTTCGGCGAATCCATGGCCTACAAGCTCTGCGTATTCCTCAACGTAGGCGCCATTCCCGGCCGTGCCTTTCCCGGGTTGCTGGCCGACCGGATAGGCCGGTTCAACGTCATGGCCTTGACGGCGCTGGTCTGCGGCATCATTACCTTATCTCTCTGGTATAAAGCCGGCACCAGCGAGGCCGCGATCATCGCGTATTCGGTCTTGTTTGGGTTCTGGAGCGGGGCGGCCATCAGCCTGACCCCGGTGTGTATCGCGCAGGTCTGCCGGACCGAGGACATTGGAAAGAGGAATGGAACGACGTTCACCCTCGTCAGCTTTGGGACCCTCACCGCCATTCCGATTGCCGGGGCGATCCAGGAGAGCAACGGCGGGAGCTTTTGGGGATTGATCATCTTCGGGGGCGTGCTGTATCTGGCGGCGTGTGCGGCGTTTGTGGTTGCTAGAGGGGTGGCGGGTGGCTGGGCGTTGAGGATAAAATTCTAAGCGACTTGCCAATGGGCCCCTTTATAGACTTTGTTGTCGCTGACTGACCACGGGGTTGAGTGTACCATGGCTGCGTGTTGTAGATAGCTTCCGTCCTGGATGATAGCCTCAGTTCATTCTTCTTCCACACCACATCAGTCTGTCAGCCCAAAGCCCGGCCCCGCCTGTGGGCTCATTGGAATCATCGTCTACCATTGACTCCTAGATCAAATTCGTCTCCAAGAATTGAAGGCATTACTCTGATATCATGTTGTTTGTTCTTGCGGAGAGGCTACCTCAGAACCTCGCAAAGCTTGACAACTACCGATTGATCACTCTTTCCATCGAGATTTATCGTTTCTCAATTGTTCTAGATCTGCTATGGCTAGGCCTGATGCAGGATACGTTTGTTTAGTCAATTGACCGTCCTAAACAACTCTACAGTGCTACGTCGTATTGTGAAAACTTTGCAGCCATATGAGCTGGAAGATCCCCGTACCTACCTCCTATCACTTCTGAAGCTGAGATGGAAGCAGCTACGGCATACTTAACATTTCAAATGTACAACCTTACACTTCGAGACGATTGTTCGTATTGCAACCAAATCACCATGTCAATTATCTCTATAGCTCTATCCAGTATTCTTTCCAAGGCGAAAAAAAAAAACAAACATAATTTAATCCCGAACTACCCCAACTACTCACTCATCCCTCAACAGCGGACCCCTCTTAATCGGCCCCAGATTTGTGAACTCGAGCGTCGGCGGAAGCGCGTCCTGGTTCCAGTACACGATCGCATGGCGCATCATGTGCGCGTACGTTCCGGGAACGATATCGGAGCCCTCGTGCTTTCTCCACAGTGAGCCCAGCGTCTCCTTGAACACCCGCAAGATCAGTCCGTGGGCGAGCTTGAACCCAAAACTCCGCGTGAGACAGCCCTCCACGACCTCGCGCGCCTGCTTCTGCTCCGGCGTCTCCACCTCGCCTGCCTTCGGCAGCGGGAGCGACATCAACTCGAACGCCTTGCGCCCGTCCCAGTCGGTGAAGACGTTGATCAGCTGGGACCCCTCCATGAAGTCGATCCCGTAGAGGTGATCGCGGATATATTCCGGCCCGTTCCAGCCGTCCTCCTCGTCCACAAGCCCCATGACCATCGACACCACCTGGCCCTGGATGATGTAATCCGTCAGCAGCTTGCTGGTCTCCTCCTCGTCGATGATCTTGCTGCCCTCCTCGATCTTGAACGAACCCCCCATCAACGGTACCCCTTTCAGCAACGGACTCGCATGCATGCCGTCCGTGGACGTTTTCCCTTCCCACAACTTCAGCAACAGCTTATGACAACGCAGGAAGAGCGGGTTGTCTTTCCTGGCCGCGAGGAAGTAATTGGTCAAGCCGCGTTGGTCGGGAAGGCCCGTGAAATAGGAGAGGACCTCGAACCGCGACGCAGGGTTCGCGATCGTCTCGATCCAGAGCCGGTCCAGATCCCCGATCTGAATAAACCCCACGTCAGCGTAGACCCCGCCATACCGCAGGAGGAGCGGGAAGCGAACGAGGTCCGACGTGTGCTGCGGCGCGTAGGTGCCGCCGATGGTGCCGTCGGCGAAGGCGCGCGGGAAGAGGGTCGGGTCGGTGACGTCGAGGTACTCGCGCACGTTCTCGCAGTCGAGAACGCGAATCGTCCAGCCGAGCTTGGAAAAGCGACGGTGCCATGCCCGCACGTTGCGCCGGGTGTATGGGTGCATGTTCGTGTATCCGCTCGTCCAGAAGAACCAGATGTTCTTCTCATCGCTCACGGGCTTTGCATGGATGATGTCGTGGTCGATCTGGGAGTCGTCGCGGAGATCTAGGAGGTGGTGGGGAATGGCGTGCATCCCTACTGGTGGGGTGTATAGATTATCGGATCCCATGGTGGATAGGTGGTTGGTTTGGGAGGAGGTAGTGACGGTGCCAGCGAGCATTGATTGGATACTTTGAGGACTTCTCAAGCGAGGGAGATGCTCGGCAGATGATGCTTGTTGTCCTTGTCCTTGCGCACTCGAATTCTCTGTGGGACTGTGGTTTGTTGACATGGTAACATTGCAGGCATTGTGGTAAGTATTTATCTCGATATGTTCGGTGGGGATCTGATCTTATCCGGCCGATAAGAGACGCTAAGCACAGGGGCGGTGGCGTGGCTGACACATGACTCATGCTCGACTCATCCTTGCTCATCTGTGCTATGGCGGGGGCCAGCTCACCGTGGCTTAAAATTCTGCCCAAGGCGGTAAGAGGTTTTGGACCTCGCCGAGCTGGGCGCCCTGTGCTATGGCATACTATTCAAAGCTTCAAGGCTTGTTCTGACAGATTGTTTCTCACAATGCCGGTTTAGCATGGACTTGTGGACTAATGTTCAGCACTTATTAGGGGGCTCCTGTCTCCGTAGATGCGGAAGAATCCGACGGTCATTTGAATGAATGGACTAAGGTGGCAACGCCACCTCGGCATACCCAAGCGGTAAGCATAATCAGATAATGTATGTGATATACTCGCTTTTCTATGCTGCCATATGATACTGACAGACTCATGCCAGACCGTTGCAACCTATGGGACACTTGATCAAGCCCTGCCCGATGTTGAGACCCGGCGAAGCTGCCGAGCTCAGTCCCGGCTCTTCGCGGCCCCACTCGCTGCCGCCGTTTTCAGCAGTCTATGAGCCAGGTGGTTCTCACTTATTCTTGGATTTCCATGGATATCGTTACCGTGATGAAGAACCGTGCCCATAGACCCCGCGTCATGCTTGATATAGCTCGTCGATGCTGCCCCACAATGGACTCAAGCCCATCCAAATTCATGTCGTCATCAATGGCATCGCGAGATACAAGCACCGCGCGTGGCATATAAAACCGCCGACAAATATGCTTGGAAATAAGGTTTCACTGAACAGAATCAGCCAACAAGTATCACCACAATGGACAGTTTCCAAGACAACTTTTCCTGGTCTTTCAAGGCCAAACACCCCCTGAAGGTGATTGTGGTGGGTGCTGGCATCGCCGGGTTAACGGTAGCCTTGGGTTTGAAGAAGGCTGGACATGAAGTCCTTATCCTGGAACGAGTCCATGAGATCGCAGAGGTGGGTGCAGGCATTCAAGTCGCTCCGAATGCTGCGCGGATACTGGGACGGCTTGGTCTTCTCGACAAAGTCATGGACAAGGCGAATGTGCTGGAGAAGAACTCCCTGCGCCGATACGCGAACAATGAGGAACTGGGAACCGCACCTTTGATGCCTCAGGTATAATCACCTACATCTGATATGACAAGGGTTAGCCGTCCTGCTAACCGCATCGTAGGTCGGTCAAAAATACCACGCGCCACTGGCAGTGATCCATCGTGGGGATCTCCAGCGCATTCTTCTCGACAGGGTTCGGGATGCGAACATCGAGTTGCGCACCAGCTCCCGGGTTGTCCGAGCGGTTGACGACTTCGAAGCCACCGTTCAGCTCGAATCGGGCGAGTGGATCTCTGGAGATGTGGTGATTGCCGCGGACGGGATAAAGTCCGATCTGCGCCATCAGATCGCATCCCACCATGGAGTTAAAGACATCTGCCAACCTACCGGCGATGCGGCCTATCGCATTATGATCCCGAAAGACAAGCTGCAGGGCGACAAGCGCGCTCTGGAGCTTCTGAACCACAACGTTGGAATGCGCTGGATGGGACCTGGAGGACACATCATGGCGTATCCTATCAAGAACAACACCGTGTATAACATGGTACTGCTTCACCCGCAGAAGCCGGGGGCCTCCAACGAGGAGAGTTGGACCAGTAAAGGCGACAAGCAGGAGATGATCTCCTTCTACAGCAAGTGGAATGATTTGGTCCGAAGTCTCTTGAGTTATGTTCCGGACGGCGAGGTCATGGAGTGGACTCTGAACTCGCACTTCCCCCTCCCCTCGTGGGTGGAAAACAAATGCGTTTTGATGGGCGATGCGTGTCACCCGATGCTGCCCTATGTGGCCCAGGGTGCTGCGCAGGCAATCGAGGATGCTGGTGTGCTTACGTGTGCTCTGTCCATGACCGATTCGGTTCCCAAGGCATTGGCGGTCTATGAGCTGGTACGCAAGGACCGTGCCGAGCGCATCCAGAAGAGCGCCGCAGTGACGAGGAAGGCGCTGCACCTACCTGATGGGGAGGAGCAGGTCAAGCGAGACGAGGCCATCCGGGGTTCGGGCAAGAACCCCGATCTTTGGGCTGATCCCAGCTGGCAGGACTTTATGTGGGGTATGTATCATTTTCATTCCGGGCTAGAGCTCGATTGTTCTGACCTCTCTACAGGCACGGATGTTATGAAGGACACGGTCGAGAACTGGGATGATCTGGTGGCGAAGACTCATGGTTACCACGTACATGCGGTGCATGCAGTGGGCTATTGATGAAGCACTCTGTGGCTGATGCTTGAGCAAATGGGTACTTGTTTCAATACAAAGAGCGGACCCAGGCATGGAGTATGATCAGACATTCATATATGTACATATTCTTAACTCGACTTTCTTACTGGTATGACATACAATGTAGATGATCTATTGCCTCGATATCACACGTTGTCACTGTCATTCATGGTGATCTATGGAGTAGCATGCTTACCTGTCCTGATATATCGCGCAATGTACCTGAGTATATATACCGCCGCAAGACAGCACAATTGCGCAGCAAAACCCATGGGGATCAACCCTCTACACTGTCATACCCACGTATCCGCAAGGCCAGGCCACTCGACAAGAACAGAGCACCCTTTGTATCCAGAGAATGTATCTACGAAGAGGACATCGAAGCAAGCACACTCCACGTGATCAACGTAGTGAACAAGCGCAGCACTAGACCCGGATAGCTTTAGCGCACGCTCTTAGCGTCATACTTTTGAATCGAGCACTCAAGGAAGCCGGGCTAGCTCAATCGGCAGAGCGTGAGACTCTTAATCTCAAGGTTGCGGGTTCAACCCCCGCGTTCGGCTTAATCGGTTCTCTTTTTGCCCATTGGCGGCCCTTTGCTCGACGTGTGAGGTCGACCGCCGGCTTGGTCCTTGATAATGGTCGTACCCCATACAGACTTGAAATCGTGGTGCAGTTCAAACCCGTTGTTCGGCAAAGGTGTTCGTCACAGGGTCGTTGGGGTATATCCGACTGAAAAGGACGAGGGCGTGTAACCATACATTTCATGCCACTGGAAGTTCTGGGAACCGGCAAACCGATGGTGCTATCGTCTTCCGTGTGACTAGGACCAGGACAGTAGCTCAGGGAGTACAGCTCCTCTGGTGATGTCTGTATCACCTATAACGAGCCGAGTCAGTCACTGTATATCATGCGATCATGTCAGGTTTCCCAAGGATATGTACCGCCAGATTAATCTGCCCATAAGCCGGGAAAAGGAGGGCTCTTGAGTTTGAGGATCAAATGGTGAAAGCCATGGCGAGACTGGGAGCTGGTGGAAGCGGGAGAGTTGGGGGAGGAATGGACACCCCTGCGAGCTGAGGTGAGCACGGACCCAGTCTAAATTGAGCAGCCGTCGGCCTTTCGGCCAGACCACCTCCGCGGCCCCGCGGTCCCTACTTCCCAATACGGAAGTAACCTTCTGAATTCTCTAGAAGGCGATAATGGTATATAAATCATGAAATCTTAAGCCTGGATGAAAGCATACATACGATCAAAGTCACACCGAGGACTTCTGTGTACCCTCCACGAAGCATCGCCTTCGATTCCACCCCTCCCGACAAATCCTAAAAAAACCAGAAGCAACCATGCCAACAACTGGCCTTATCGTATGCAGCACACGTTCACCCCGTGCCGGGCTTCAAATCAGCACCTTCATCCACGAGACCATCAAGCAAGCACATCCGCAAGCAAGCATCACAGTCATTGACCTCGCAGAATGGAACCTACCACTATATAACGAGCCGGGGATCCCGTCGCGTATCACATCAGCTGAGGGTTACGTTCACGAGCACACCAAGGCCTGGTCGCGGGAGATTTCGCGCTACGATTCATTCATTTTCGTCACCCCCCAGTACAATTGGGGATACCCTGCGAGTCTCAAGAATGCGATCGACTATCTCTTCAATGAATGGAAGGGAAAGCCGGTGATGGTTGTCAGTTATGGCGGTCATGGGGGCGGCAAAGCCGCGGCGCAGTTGCAGCAGGTGCTGCAGGGATTGAGAATGGTGCCCCTGGAGAGCACGGTTGGATTAACCTTTCCCGAGAAGGAGATCATGGCACGCGCCGCGATGGGGGAGGATCTGGGGTTGGGAGGAGAGGGGGGTCTCTGGGCAGGAGAGAAGGAAGCAATCCAGGGCTTATTCGGGGAATTGGTGGGAGTAGTGGAGAAGTCGAGATGATTGTGTCATAAGTTGTCTGATAGGCGGTGTATGTCCATGATTGTGGCGTTCAGGTTGTTCTTTATTGCCTTCTTCCTCTTACTTCCCTATTTCCACACATCTAACTGCCTCTATAAAGGTGTTACCCGGTGTCCCCGAGCCACAGACCTTTGCGTTATGCGCTATGCGCAGGCGGAGCTCTTCAAGCCGCAAGAACCATACTTATTCAATTATCATTGATAAATCAGCCCAATGATCTGTTCAATCTCGCTATGCTATAGTCTCATACTTTTCTTATTGCCCCTGGCGACAGGTCTTCCATCTCGCATCAATACTACCAAGGCACACACGAAACCATACGATGTCTGCATCCTGGGTGGCGGAGCAACCGGCACATACGCCGCCATTCGCCTTCAGGATCGCGGAAAGCGGGTGGTGGTGATCGAGCAGAACAGCCAGCTCGGTGGCCACACGGAAACCTACTACCTCCCTAACGGTAGCCACGTCGACTACGGCGTCCAGGGTGTCTTCGACGACAAACTCAGCAGGAAGTTCTTCTCCCGCCTGGGGGTCAAATGGCACCGTGTCCTTCCCAGCTTCAAAGGAGAGGACTTTGTGGACTTCACTACCGGTCGAATGGCGGAGTCGCCCGTCGGCCTCGTCCAGTCCCTGCTTGCGCTCGTCCGATATCGATTGGCACTGCGGCAATTCCCCTTCCTTGACAAGGGTCTCTACGATTTCCCGGATCCAGTCCCCGAAGCCATCTTCCGCCCGTTGCGAGAGTTCATCGAAGAATACTCTCTCGAGGACGTGATACCGACGTTGTTCTTCTGGGCTCACGGAGTCGGGAACATGCTCGACATGCCAGCCCTCTACACCTTCCAGAACTTCGGTGTACCGCATATATCCGCCGTCCTCGGCGGGTACATCACACCGGAGAAGGGGATGTACGAGTTGTACCGGGCAGCGGCCGCAGTGCTTCCCAACGTGCATTACCAGACCAAGGTTGTCGATGCCAAACGCTCCGATTCCGGCGTCACGCTCACCGTCCAGCATCTCAACGGCACCCACGACACCATCGAAGCCGAGCAGCTCCTCGTGACCCACCCTCCAACCATGGAAAAACTCCAGGGCTTCGATCTCACTCAAGAAGAGAGTGACCTCTTCAGCAAGTGGTCCTGGCGCAACTACTACGTGGCGGTGACCAGCAACAGCGGCATTCCGGATGGCCGATACGTGACCAACACCAACCCCCGCACGGGGCTGGGATTCCTCCCCGAGATGCCCTTTGAGTCCCTGATCCAGTACATGGGGGTGCCGGGTCACCCAAACACCAAGATCGTGGGGCCGATGAATTTCACCGCGGAGGACGCCAAGCAGCTCATCGCGTCGGATTTTGCCCGCATGAAGACCGCGGGCACGTATTCGATCCGTGAGCCCGAGGTCGTGGCATTCGCGGATCATTCCCCAACGACCATGATGGTTTCTCCGGAGGACATCCAGTCGGGATTTTATCGCCGGCTGTATGCGCTGCAGGGGCAGAGGAGCACCTTCTACACGGGGTTGACCTTCTGTTCGGACTATTCCTCGCTCCTCTGGGCGTTTACGGACTCAATGCTTGAGAGAATGGGATGAACGGTATCACTGTGGCCTTGGTGCTGCTGGCTGCACTTTATTTTCTGTTTACTAGAACGTTAATACTGATTTACAGGCTTCTGCAGGGGCCGTTAACGAACAGCCTCCACAGTCGATATGCTGAGACCTCTTCCCTTTACATTTTGAAATGATTAGTCAACTACTGATGCTCTATCCGATCACTGATAGTCTTCTACTGTATGTCTTGCTTACAGTCGGAGTTCAGTGGAACTGATGATATATGGAAGCGCATGATCAACCTATCAAATCAATCGGCGATGTGACACACGTCTCACCCCATTGCCCCTCATCCCGAAACCAGCCCCGCGCCTACTGACCCAAAATCGTAGCCAACGACTGGCTATCACTCTCGGGCTCACCCTTGTCATCCGTGGGGATTTTCTGAGACGCGAAGGCCAAGAAGATCGCCTCCCAATGCCCATCAGCGAACTTGAACAGCAACGCCCCGTCTTCATAGATCCCATTCGTGTAGCCTTCGCTGCCCTGATTCATGTGAATATCATGAATCCCCGAGCCATAAGAGGAGCCGAAGATGTAGATGGTCGCCTTCTGGTTGATCGCGTCCGTCAGGATGGGGTCCACCTGATCGAGGATGTCTTGATCACCGTCCGCCCCGAGGACCGTGCCAGCATCGATGTCCACCAGCCCCTCGGTGCGGACAAAGTCCAGCCCCTGGATGCTCACCGTGGTCTCGTGGCGCCGGCGAGACTGGCTGTGCACGGAGCTGCTGAGGAGGTGGAAGCCCTGGTCCAGGCTGTCGATCTGCTCGGTGATGGCGTGGGTGAAGTTGCGGTCAAACCAGTAGACGAGGCGACTATCCTTATCGGTGGACTTGACGTTGATGGCGGCCTCGAGCTGCTTTCGGGAAGAAGTGTCGTCTTTGAAGTAGAGGTAGATGTGGGGAGACTTGGGATCCTCGGCGTCGGTCTGAGCCTCGTAGCGGGTGGGCTGGCCGATCCAGACGCCGTAGTGGGAGATAGTCATGATGGCAAGCTTGATGGTGGAATGCTTGCTGATAGTGGGTATAGGAAGCTTTGATCAAATTGAGGGGCTTTGGAAAGATGAGCAAGGCCAAGGCCGACAGAGGCAGGGTAGTTAGCCTACTTAACTTGTTGATTCAGCTCAGCCGGAAGCCTGCCTGGGAGCATCGTCCTACCTCTCGCCTCAGCTATCGCTCCCACCTCCGTCATCGGCACGGCTCGCACTGCAAGATCGGCAAGCGCTGGTCTGGACTCGTCAGGCCGATAGGAAGTGACAGCTGCTGATAAGCCAACCCAGAGAGCTGCGCCCCGCACGTGCCATGCTTAGCGTGCTTGACACCTCTTCAGCTCGCCTTGTTTGCCGGATCCTACTGCGTCATTGGGCAGGTTTCGGTCACGCCGATCTAGTCTCTACTGCTTGTTTAGCTCTAATTCCTATGGCAGCGCATGGGTGGGAGTGACATTCGTTTTCTCCTCAGGACTTCATATAGTCGTGCCTACTGAAGGACTGGCTGACCGAACAATTCGAACTAAGATAGTCTGGTTTTCCCGCTACCAGCATATGGATGATTTAAGCGGATTGCGCACGACAATCAGTTCAACTGCTGATCAATGAGTAAATGGAAGAACAAGGAGTTGGTAGTACTACTAGACACTTGGTTATTAAGCTTCATTGAAGGTTAGTGCCATTGGGCCAGGGAAGAAGCCAATAACTTAGCCGAGAGAATGGCAGAACATCTCTCCGTAGTTAATAGCTGAACTAAAGTGACAAATCTCTCTCCCCATCTACATATGGCGTGACAGTGATTCTTTGTGACTCTCCACCCTAGAGATACCCCGCCTGCTCTTTCTCACGGAGGACCTAGTTGTATGCGTAGGCATTGAGTAGGCCCTAGTCAGGCTAGAGAGCTACTTGGTGATGGCATGGGCGAATATCTTTTCATGTTATCGATTCCAATGATAGTCACATATGAGAGGTGTCGGGTGGAGGCACTCTATATTGACATCATGAGTAAGTTACCATCTTATTTATCAGGTGGCCGTCAGGAAGACCCTGTGTGGGTAAGAGATTGCTGCTCCTTATGACCCTGCTAAGGGTGTCGGGGTGTAGGCTTTCACAACCCGGCGCATGGGATGATAAGTATCTTGCCATTCACCTATATACACAACATATGTAGATATAATTGTAGCGAGGCTTCATGTCATTCCAATGATGCACTGAAAAGTCTCAGTGTTCAACATCATAATCTTCATGCACTCTGCACCTCTTCAAACGAGCTGAGAACAAATCCCTAACCCAAAACGGTTAGCACAGCCAGCATCCCAGGAAGAATCCAATCACATGACCATTCCCCGGAGAAGCCGCCGCTGCTGACACATGCGAATCAACATCATCGCACCCGTCCCGCCCTGTCAACAAAAGAAGGCCACCTGTTAGCCAAATCGACATCGAATATATCGGGGAGAGCAAAAAAAAGTCCACCCACCCCTCAGTCCCCCGGCCTCTACACACGCCCATCATGCTCTCCGGCATTCAAAATGTCCGGCAAACCGCCGCCCAGATCCTGAATTTCGGTCTGGTGCTCAGCACCGCCTTTATGGTACGTTCCCGCAAAAGGCAGAGTGCGTGCGCGGGTTTTCGCAGGGGTCGTAGCTAGCTAGCTGCGCGCGCGAGAACCGCCACAGCTCTTCTACCCTACACGATTGACAATGGAGCTTTGTGCGAAACGGTGGCTGACCATGGCGACTTCATCACCCAGATGTGGAAAGGTCTCTCCGTCCTCACCAACTCGCCCAGCCCGATCGTCGTCGTCCTCAGTGGCTCGATGGAACCGGCCTTCCAGCGCGGCGACCTCCTCTTCCTCCGGAACAACCAGCCCATGCTGAACGTGGGGGAGATCGTGGTGTATCAGGTCAAAGATAAGGAGATTCCGATCGTACATCGGGTGGTGCGACAGTTTGGTGATGAGTGGGTTTTTCTTCCTTCCTTTGTTTCCTTTTTTAGGGTCTCCGCTGCTTTGATTTCTGGAGTTGGGGGGACTGTACGCATTTGCAGCAGGGTTGAGGTTGAGATGAGTTGAACAAAAGCAAGGGCATCAGGCTGATTCTGGGGTATGAATATGCAAACAGGTCCAACTCGAAACTCCTCACAAAAGGTGACAACAACATCGCCGATGATACGGAACTCTACGCGCGCGGACAGGATTACCTCGATCGGGAGGATGTCGTGGGCAGTGTGTTTGGGTACATTCCGTTTGTCGGGTACGTGACCATTCTCCTGTCGGAGCATCCGTGGTTGAAGACGGTTATGCTGGGTGTGATGGGGGTCTTGGTGTTGTTGCAGAGGGAGTAAGTTCGGGAGTATATACTTGGAAACTGTATGGGTATGGGCCTCTTCTCTTTCCGAGCCTCTCAGGTATGCTCTTTGAGAAAAATTTCTGGGTTGTGCTCTTTTGGAGTTTCGGGTTGGGGTCTGGAAGGATGATATGTAGGAACGACACAACATTCGGACGCGACGCGTGCCTCGGATCTGAGCTCAACGATAACCGAGTGCAGGTGAACTTGGAAGGGCGATATTGCGATTGCAGCTGCAAGTAAACAATAGAAGCTTGAACCCTTGCCCACACTGCAGTATATCGAGGGTTCGTGGTCAAGCCATGCTACCTTGACAAGACATCAGACCAAGTTTACATTGCATTCGACTGTAAAGAAACAGGCCCCGACCACAAGGACCGATAAAGCATCAATTGACCCTCTCCTGACCACATAAACCCACTCCGCAGGCCAGCAAGCTCAGCCTGTCGGATAACAGCGGAACTAAAGCCTGCATTTCCGGTTCATAAATCAAGGATGGCCATTCGTTGTAAGCATTTCAACCGCCCCATTGGCCCCAGTTTTGAGAATACAAAGTCAAAATTGCCGTTACTGTGACAGGATAGGCACAAGTGCGACTTCAACTTCGCGTGGCGAGGGGGGACATGGGTTAATTTCCTCTAAATAACGAACCTTTTCTCAGGTCTTTTCGGCCGTCGACACACAAAGTGACCTCGTTCATCCTAGCGAGGTGTCATATAGTACACTCAGGCATTGGTTTTGATGGAAATCAAATGACTACGTAGATCATTCATCGCTTGATTGATTCTGCTGGATCTGTCGTCGTAGGTCAACTCGAGAGCGGGGGCGATAAGACTCCCCAGTAAAATCGCGAGCAGTTCCAGACAAACCCTCGTGACGTGACGCGCTGTCGCTCCAAGCGACTCAACGCTTGCTGAAACGACAGGCCCATTCCAATGAGGAACGAATAGACAACTGGCTTGATCTAGGCAGCACTTAGTCAATGGACACATGTAGCAAGTCTCCGATGCCACGTCCTGAACCTGAGTGGGTTGAACTCCGGTGGCTAGATTAACTTCGTCAGATCCTGCATCGTGCGCAAAGTCAAAGTCTAGAACCTTTACGTAGAAGGTGGTGGAGCGGACCTACATAACACAAACTTGCCTGCTGTGCTAGTACCCCGTTAGGGCACACCAAGCCCGTCAAAGTCTCATTCGCAGGGCCTGAGTTGAAAGTGGAGGTACTGCACTTATGTCCCACTTGACAGAAGATATCCAGCCATTCTCAGTGAATTGTATGCAAGTGTAGTGTGTATGCCCTAAAGCTCTTGCCCTACAGCATACCTAGAATCAGTAGCCCCAAAGGCTGCCGGGCCCTTCGGTATCCTTTCCTCATTCTCTTTTACTCTTTCAGGAAAAATCAAACCTTGGTCCATGGACAAGGCTCGGCAAGTAGAATATGGGAAAAAAAGGCGTGGACCAGATGAAAGTAACCGACTGGAAACCCGCGGGCTGGGACTATGTGTAAACTCTCGGTCATCGCCAGGTACGCGCACACCGACCGTTCCATGCGTCGCGGTGCCCTAAAAGCCCCATTGCCTTGAGGTGCAGGGGCTTGGTGGGAGTGCGAATTTTGTGTTTCGAAGAAGGGCCGGTTCCGATGGATCGGGCTTTGCATCTTGGCCCGAACAGGTAATATAATCATCTCTTCCGTGGTTGCACAATTGCCAATGAGCATTGAGCACGCTTGACCCGGGGAGATGCTGCTCATGGATTGTATTGCCATTGGTCAGCTTAGAAAAGGTTCTGCTAGATGAGTCAGCGGAGATGCACATGCTGGGCTTAGTACATAGAGAAAAGTGGAGCCGCGGTCCCTGGCCGAGAGTATTGAGCCGTGGCTGCATTGTTCGGCTTGCGCTTTGTTGGTCTTCTAGGGCATCTGTGTCAAGTGCGCTTTTTTTAGGTCTGGAAAGCGCATTGTAGAAAGAAACAATGCGATGAGAGGGCTCTTTCGGACATCTACACGGATGACGAGAGGACGAACAAGGGCGAGGAAGAGCCACCTGTGGCCTCGAAGAATCGATCGGAAAAGAGATCACCTAGCTGGGAAAAAACAAACCGCTGTCAAAACAGCAGCAGAGGCCAGAAGACAGAATAAAAGTGGAAACCCGAGTATCCACTGACAGAAAAGTCCCCGAGACCACAGACCATGCCAATCCTCTTGGATGATACATTGCTCTCGTGCCCTAGTCTACATTTCGATCTTCTTCTAACTAGCCCCAGTAGAAGAATCTTTACTTGGACCCGCTTCTGGCTCTTGCTCGGCTTCACTTCTTCTTTCAAGGCCAGCAGGTGCCGCATCTCGAGACAATACCAAGAAAATCCCTTTGTATCAGCACAAAGGGGTCTTCTTGGTATTGTCTCGTGTTACTTATCCTTGCAAGGTGATTGTCCGTCACGTTAACGGCACGACAAATAGAAATGAGGAGGCAATACATACCGCTGCTGTCTTCCTTCACAAATGGACCTCTGTAACTGTTCCACTCTCTTCTCCACCGTCGTCGAGTCTTTCCAACCCTAAATCCACCCTGTCCACCCTGCGTGGCCGTTTATGTTCATAGCGTTTTCTCCCCAACTTTCTGCCCCACAGCCAATTGGCTTCCTGTGCTTGTCACTGCCTCTAATCCTCTCCATGGTTCCTGAGTCGATTGAAGCTGACGCATTCGCTCGTCACCCTTGCTCTTTCTCTCCTCTTTTACCCATTCCCACTTTGGGTGGCACATGTCTCCTTTCTCGGCGTCGTAAACCCAATGGTCCAGACCAAAGCCCTACCCAGGGGGATGCGGATGGGGGGCCCACAGGGTCGATTCAAGCAGGCTATTTAGAGCGGCAGATGCCCTCCTTCTTATGCACCTGTTCGTTCGTCAGTCACTCTCATTTCAATAAAGACACCAAGTCTTTTCGTTCAGTCTTTTCCTTTGGTCTTTTCGTTAAGTTACAATCGTAACTCACATTCTCTATCAATTGTCGTCGATACTTGATTGTATCGACAGCCTTTCCTTCCTTGCCACTTCAATCAGACATAGTCCTCGCTTGACGCGTAGGAACGTTCTCTACAACAAAAGCCAACACACTCTCTCTTGATACTATCAGTCAGGATGCAGTTCATCACCCGCTCTCTTTTCCTGCTGAGCGCCCTCGGCGCCGGCACCTTCGCTGTTCCCCAGGGCAACGAGCGTCGCCAATGGAACTGGGGTGCTTCCTCGACCACCTCCGTCGTTTCCTCCGCCACTTCGTCCTCTTCGGCCTCCTCCTCCGACTGGACCGCCACTCCGGCTAGTGGAAGCTACTCCACCTCTGGCTTCGGTGCCAGCACCGCCGCCTACAGCTCCGGCAACACATATCAAGGCAACGTCGGCAACCCGTGGGGTAGCAACATGATCGAGGTGTCGGCCGACGAAGCTTCCTCGTACGAATATGTGATGCAGATCTCGGGCCAAAACACTGAAGACTGGACCGTTGTCTTCTGGAACAAGTACGGCCCCGACGGCTCCATGGATGGCTGGTACGGTTACTCTGCTCTCAGCCTCACTCTGGCGGCCGGTGAGACCAAGTACGTCGCTTTCATGGAGAACTCCAATGGTGGCTTCGGTGCCGCCGCGGGCAGCAGCCTCCCCACCGACAGCTATGGTGGCTATGCCTGCACCTGGGGTGAGTTCGACTTTGGCTCCGATGCCAACAACGGCTGGTCCGGATTCGATGTCAGCGCCATCCAGGCCCAGGATGCCAGCATGACCGTCCAGGGTATGAAGATCTGCGATGCTCTGGGCAGTACCTGCTCCTCAATCACCACCGATGCTGGTACCGTTGATAACGCCTACACCTCCGCCGAGAGTGCCGTGGGTGGTATTGGAGGAAACCTTTCGAGCGGCGCGGTCCGCTTGGCCGTTACCATCGATTACAGCGGATAGATATAGATCGTCTGAGCTTTGCTGCTTTATTAGTCTCTCCTAGAGAGAGACGGGGGGGGGGGGGGGGGGGGGGGGGGGGGGGGGGGGGGGGGGGTCGCTGGATAGAGATATAAATTGGTATAGATGAACATGTCCTGGATAGACAAAATAAAATATAGACTGCTCTGAAATCTTCATCGGACTGACCCTGTCAAATGAGGTAGCTGCAATTTTCAGAGATGAAATCGCGTTTTGTAGATTCCCGAAATCTGTCGGAGAGCATGTGGCGAAGCCGCTGTCACTTGACGTCGATCGCGATCGTCGTCCGAAATTCTTCGGACTCGGCAACACCATGGTATACGACCTCCCTGCATATAAATAGCTCGTGAATGCTTCAAAGTCGTGACTGGTAACCGACTCCAGTTCTCAATTTCCAAGTGTCAATCATGTCTCAAATCTATCTCATTACCGGTTGCTCGTCGGGACTCGGTCACGAATTCGCCCGTCAGGCACTCCACCGAGGCCATAAAGTCATCGCGCTTGCTCGCGATATTGCCAAGCTTGCCCCTCTGCAAGAGCTTGGCGCAGCGACGCTCACACTCGATGTGACAGCATCGCAGGAGGAATTGGATCGAACAGCAACAGCGGCCCTTGCGATTTATGGCAGCGTCGATATACTTGTGAACAATGCAGGCTACACGCTCTTCGGAGCGGTAGAAGATCTCAGGTATGGTTTGATTCGGGGTAAGAAAAGGTGCATTATTGACCGTATGAGTAGCTACGATGAATGTCTTAGGGAGTTCCAGACAAATGTGTTCGGGCCAATAGCTCTCACTCGTGGCCTGCTGCCTCATTTTCGTCGACGCCGTGCGGGAACGATCGTCAACATCGGTTCCCTCTGTGCATGGGAGACATACCCGGGTGTGGGTGCCTATAGTGCTTCCAAGGCGGCTTTTCGATGTGAGCACAATTTTATCCACTGATGACCCCGGATGGACATTCATGCTTTTTGTTCCAGACTTCACCGAGGCGCTTGCCCAAGAGACCGCCGGCACAGGCATAAGAACCCTTTTGGTCGAACCCGGCCAATTTCGTACAGATCTCCTGAGCCCGCGGAACAGCACGTTTGTCGAGACCAATATTCCAGAGTATCGAGACCTGACGGCTGCTTCGTTCGCAAACTTCCGCAATGCTCACGGCAAGCAACGGGGTGACCCAACAAAAGCCGTGGCTCGTGTTTTGGATGTCATCCACGGCGAGAACGAGGCCAGTGGCCGAGATTGGCCGGGAGAATTGGCGCTGGGCCCCGATGCAGTGGAAGCCATCCGAAGCAAATGCGAGCGAACCTTGAAGCGGTTGAATGAGTGGCAAGTTTTCTCATCGGAGACCGACGCTGAATGTGTTTAGCTCGAGATAAGCCGGCGTTGTAGTGATTTGTCTTTGAAAGGAGGCTGCTGCATGACTTGGTCGATGCAGGCGAGAGAGGACTCGAAAACCTGTCAATTACATCATAATCATGGCTGGCCACCTTGGTCACACTGCAGAAAGTTCCGCAGCGCTGAACAGTTCGTCGCCCTAATATAGAAGTTTGCGGGTCGGCCCACTTCGTGCAATGCTGGGTGGAAAGACAGAGTGAGGGAAGCTGTAAATAAACCGCATTGATTAGCAGTTAGGTCCAATATAGCCCAACTATTCAAAATAGCGACACATCGGTGCATCAGCTATCGCAGACCGTAAGTGGTTAGCCGAGGTTGTAGTTGGTTTCGCTCACGGTGTGCCTTGCGTCTGTCTGCAGGAGAAGTCAGAACTTACCCCTCGTTCAGTGACCCTAGCGACCAGGGATAGCATCCGGGTCATCCGAGCATGTATAGGGAATGATAAGCAGTCGAATGATTATTCTTCCAGCTTCTGCAGCCAACTGAGGACTAATTCTGCAGTGGCTGTCGCCTCTTATCTGCATGGGCATGATAAGCATCTATGGACGCCATCGTGGATGTGGAGACACACAAATTGCTCCTCCCACGGAGCAGCTGCTTGAACGAGAGAACTTGCTCAAGCTGGAGATCGAGGAAGAGAACATATTTCTCTTCAGCCTAGTGCAGTAGACTGCATAATTGTGATTGTAATTGTCCAGGAAGAATTGTAACGTTGGCGGATGAACACTTAATGGACCTCGGAAGAAGGACGAAGAGCCAGAGCGGGAAAGGATCGGCGGCCGGAGTGGAGTCCGCTCCGGCCCGCCCACTCAAATTAATTTGCTTCACTGACAAACGAATGTATCTCCGAGTGTCGGCCCATCCACAATTTCCCCGAACAACCTCCCTTATCATACAAATATATTGAGTCTGGAAGGCTTGTCCTAGTTTTTCAAAGCTTGTTGTGCCACTCGCGCCGCCACTAGTCTACCTGGCATCTGTGCACTATTCGTCAGCGCCATGGCGTGAGGATGGCGTCCGGCTGTCGCTACCGATAAGCCCCCGTCGGACCTCCGTTCGCTCCTCGGTCGAGAGAGGAACAGGCCTTACCACCAATCACTGATGTCAGGGATATTGGCTTGCCAGGCACCAACTATACCTTGCTCTAACCGATGACCTCGTATTCCAACTCGAATTGTTGCGATGCTGGCATGAGCATCGCGAAGCCATCTAGAGAAATTGACCAAAGGTAGGCATCAGACAATAGAGTCGTGACTGTAGACAGAGACAGTTTAAAGAACTGACACCGTTATACTCTAGAAAATGCTTGACGAGCCCCCATAGTCTTGACTGGAGGTCCGCGCGCCCATCACACTCTCTTCCCCCGAGTCAGAGTGGATACTTAGGGCTCCATCGAATGACACCCACTGACTAAACTTCAGCAACAGCCAATGGGGCTTTCTGCAGCTACTGGATAGTTGCTGAAGGATGGAGTAAAGCCCCATCAGGGCCGACGGCGAACGGTCGACTCCGTTCTCCAATTCATATTGTCGCCGGCCTAAGCGAGTAATCTCCGCCGGAGTATCACAATTATGGAGCCATTGTTGATGAAGTTGCATGAGCCTACAACCAACTTTCTGTATCGCGCAGCGTCAATTCACCACGTCCGTGATCGGACGAGCAGAAAGCTACCCTGAGCAGCATATAAATAAGGACTGAGTACCTCCCCTCAAGCCTCCTTGGAACCATCCAGCATCGGACAGCTTCAAGCATCGCCTCTGGTTCTTTCTTCTGCTCAATACGTGCCTTCATCCCCTCGTGAAAAACCTTCTTTCTGCCAAAATGAAGTTCACCACCATTCTTACCGGCTCGCTCCTCGCCAGCGCTGCTTTGGCTGCTCCTCTCACTGAGAAGCGTCGTGCCCGCGCCGAGGCTCGCGCCGAGGCCCGCCGTGCCACGGGCTTGAAGCGCAAGAGCAACCCTCCGTTGAGCCCTGCCACCAACACACCTCTCCAGCACGCCAACATCTCCCAGGTTGAGTACAGCTCTAACTGGGCCGGTGCGGTCTTGATTGGCTCGGGCTACACCGAAGTCACTGGTGAATTTGTCGTGCCCGCAGTTTCTTCCCCAAGTGGAGGTTCTGGTTTCGGCGGTGGCTTCGGCGGTGGTTCTGAGTACTGTGCCTCCGCCTGGGTTGGTATTGACGGTGACACCTGCGAGACCGCCATCCTCCAGACCGGTATCGACTTCTGCTACGAGGACGGCGAGACCTACTACGACGCCTGGTACGAATGGTACCCCGACTACGCCTACGACTTCGACAACATCGATATCTCCGAGGGCGATTCGATCAAGGTCACCGTCAAGGCCACCAGCGACACCAGCGGCACGGCCACCGTCGAGAACGTCTCCACCGGTCAATCCGTCACCCACAGCTTCAGCGGTAACGTCGAGGGCAGCCTCTGCGAGTAAGTCATGATCATCCCTGATACTGTACCCGACACAAGGACTGACCAATGATAAAGGACCAATGCGGAATGGATTGTTGAGGACTTCGAATCCGGTGACTCTCTGGTCGCTTTTGCTGACTTCGGCACTGTCACTTTCACCGGAGCTGAGGCTATCAGCAATGGCGAGACTGTCACTCCTTCCGGTGCCACCCTCATGGACATTGAGCAGGACGGCGAGGTCTTGACTTCCGTCAGCGTCTCAGGATCCACCGTCAAGGTCACCTACGTCTAGATGGTGTTCTAAAACCGGTTGTATATCGGGTTCCCCAAAGGAAGAAGGCTCGGAAAGAGAGGCAGATGGGTGAAAAGCTATCCGGATAGTTTGGTCTTGTTCTGTTGTTGATGTCCATTGATGTTGTGCTTGTATTGAGATTGTTGATATTATTCCAATAAAATTGCATGCGCCAAAATCTTTTTGCAAGTTCTAGAATCGGAGTCAGGTTAAGGAGCTTGATTGAGGAATGAAGAGAAAGCAGGGTCGACAATAACGGCTAATTTGATAATTGTTGGCTAGCATTTAACATGCAGGGTAGAAGGGTAGTGGGGTAGAAGGTGAAGGTATCGGTCTGTTGATGTACAGTTTTGGAAAGACACCAGTTTAATTCCTGGATCTGTATATGAGTTGGAAGAGAAGAAAAAGAAGAAGTAAGCGGAAGGAACATGGATCCGTTCATTATCTCATTTGGCGGGTGGTTTCCTCTAAAAAGTGGAATCAGTTAATAGTCTTCCGCTATATCTGGTCATTCTGCCGTCAACTTGGAACACATACACACACACCTTTCGGAGATCCCTTCCATCACCATCAATTCCTTCGTCGTCGCCGTCTTTGCCATTGTTGTATCTGCAGTCGTCCTATCTTCTCTTAGCCTCTACTCGCCATTCAAATACATACCAAGGCAACTGAACTACATCCACCATGTCCAGCCCCGGAGATTCTGGAAAGGGCTTCACTTACACCGGGTCCGGCACCAACAGCCAGGTAAGCACTACCTCCTCCTACACGTCCTCGCCACAGAGAGTATCATCGGCAATCTTCAAGGTATCTCGAAGCACTGGATAACAAGTCCCAGGGCAACCACTGGTGCTCCCGTGACTACGGCACTGGCTCCGACTCCAACGGTTATGGCCGCGGCGATGCCTACCACTACAGCAACCGGTAAGAACCCGTTGTTCTCGCTTCCTCATATTCACATTCATGCGTGGACCTGACAGCCGGGTTTAGCAATGGCTCGTACTACTACTCCAACTCGGATGGAAGCACCTACTACAACGACGGTAAAGGTGGCGCGGTTTACACCCCTCCAGGTGAAAAAAAGTAGGGCAAGCAACTGGACTGGCAAAACGCCTCACGGAACTGAACATCACATCTCAACAAGCAAGTTGTTCTTTTTTTGAGTACGAGATGATGATGACATCGGAGTTGGGTTCCGGGTAGGCCTTTTCTTGGTGATTGCGTTGACGTAGTGGTGCTACCGGTGACCGGGCGGTTGGTCATGCGTCGGTTTTTTCCACTTGGCCCCTTGGACCGGATGCTCTTTCTTGTGCGGAGTCTTTGGAGATAGCACTGATGCACCTACTGAGTCTGAATGGAATATCGGAACTGCGCCTTCGGAGTCCCATATCGGCCAGGCCCTGCCTGTTTCCCATGGTAAAAATATGCAAAAGTATATCACTAGGATCGAAAGAAGCTTTTCAAGCCACCGCTTCCAAAAGACCCTACCTCCACCTGGAAATATATACTAATTGTCTTCATGCGACTTTTGGGTCCGATACGGATGGAGTAGCGTGGCAGCCCGTGGCCCAGGCCACCCAACCATATAAGTCTCGGACGGATGGAGTCCAGCGTCCTTTCCAAGCTTCACAGCAAGCGAAGTATGTCCGTACAATACTATATGTCGCGAGCGCTACGCTTGTAGCCTCAAGATCATCACCAAGCCCTTTCCTGTTTGTTGGCCACCACGTGGGAAGTGGCAAAGATCCCGCGAGTGCGGCATGCCCTACTGGGCTGTAGTTACTCTACATCAACCGCGCCCCTCGCACACACACGCGCACACACAACAGCTGCGGTATCCGCGCCTACCAACAACAAGAACGCACGGGCAACAGCAGTTGTTCCTCGCGTGGGTCCAGATATAACCTACCTAAGCTCATATTTAAAGCAAAGTGAAATCTATAGCTAAACATTCATCTCCACGTACGGTCTCCCCCCACCCCTCACTATCCGTCTCCAATTGACCGATAAAACACTATAGTGAGTCTTGAAGGAGCCAGCTAAAGCTGTGGGTGAGATGCGAAGGATTTCCCGGATCAGGAGCAAAGCCGAGCAGCAGCAGCCAAAGCGGGGCTTGTGCTTATTCCGACCTCGTCTGCCCACTTGTGAGAGCTTCGACTCAAGCAAGTAACTTAACTGTACTGTTCTGTACTGTACTGTACTTTTGAGGTCACCCCGCTAACTACACCTCTGCGTTTCTAGCCCGTAGGTACCAGTTGTCTTCTTCTTCTTCTTCTTCTTCTTCTTCTTCTTCTTTCTTGCTCCCAAAGTTGATAAAGGGTCTAGCGTTCCCTCCCCTCATCTGTAAACCGACCGGCTGGAAAGGCATTCGGGCAATCCGAATGCCGAAGGACCGTGTCGGAGTTTAGGCTCAAGGGACACACGGAGTTAAGGCTTTGAGTGAGTACTAGGTAGTGAGTGTCGTGCCAGCGAGCCAGTCAGTCAGTCAGTCAGTATTAACTTTACTGGGTGCATTTCGGATTGTAGGCAGCAAGGATACTTACTACCTACTCCGTACTGATCTGAATTTTTGTGCTTTTTTTTTTCTTTTTTTTCTTTTTTTCTTTTTTTCTTTTTTTCTTTTTTTCTTTTTTTCTTTTTTTGTTCTTTTGCTTTACCCCCCTCTCTCCAAGACGACCACCATGTCAGCTGGAGAGAGAGAAGACAAACCAAAGGAAGAAGAGGCTGGATCTACCTCGGCTCATGTCAAAACCTTGATTTATTCCATGGAAATTTGCGGGGAAAGATCGAGCCAAACCGCTTGCGGCTGGGCTGACAGACAGAGAGTTCTTTGATTTTGTATGAACTACTGTACCAAATGACTTCATCCCAAACCCCGTAATCGTAATCTCTATTCACCGTGCGGGCAAACATGGTACGATATCTCGGAATCTCTTATCAGGTAACAGGTAGTCAGCTATAGGTTGACGCAGTCGTCATTGAAAGGTGGCTTTGTCGATGTCCTCCCTCGTGCCCCAGGAGGAGATGATACATGTGTTAAATTTGAAAAGAAAAAAAAAAAAGGTAAGGTAATGCTCTGCCTACAGTTCCGGCTCCACTCGCAAGAATCTCCGCTCCCACTTAAACTTGTGAAGGTCAAACCAAATCATCAGCACACTTACATTCTCGGTCTTTGATTTACACCTGTCCGAACCCCGGCTAAACACAGGCGGGCATAACACATCACAAGCCGTTTGCCTTTCTTGGATAAAAGCCACTTCATCGGCAACTTCTCCCCTCCCCTTCCTTTTTGCTAGCTGGTTCATCACTTATCATCAACGCCAGTAATGCGAGGACTGGCACGAATTGTAACCATGAATTCCTACACACCCCACCATCCCGTTGCGGTATTCGCTGCCGCTGTCGTTGTCCTCGGCTCAGTCCTCACTTATTTGAGTCGTCGATGGAAGCAATATCGCATGGCCAGAGCAAACCAGTGCCAACCACCCCCGACCCTCCGTGAATGGGACCCGGTTTTCGGCCTCGATGGGATTTATCAGCGAATGAAGGAGGCCAAAGAACACAACTTTCTCGAGAGAAGTGTCGACCGCTTTGAGACCTACGGCAACACATTCCAAGCTCGTCGGCTGGGCACAACCGTGATCGCAACGCGCGATCCCGAGAATGTGAAAACCATTCTCTCTCTTCGATTCAAGGACTATGGTCTGGGGGATCGTATCCACTCCTTCGGGCCGCTCCTCGGACATGGTATCTTCACAACAGATGGTGAGTATTGGGCCCAATCGCGGGCTATGGTCCGCCCCAATTTCGCCAAGGAGCAGGTCGCCCATCTTGACATTTTCGAGGAGCTTATGGATGATTTGCTGGCCCTCATACCACCCGATGGAACCACCGTCGATCTTCAAGATCTGTTCTTCGGATTCACCATCGACTCTGCCACCGATTTCCTGTTTGGGCACAGCGTAAACAGTTTGAAGAAGCGAAGGGCGGGGCTCCCTCAGAGCATAGAGGAAGAGAAGGATTTCGCGGAGGCATTCAATTATTCTCAGTATGCTATTGCCACAAGAGCACGCTTGGGCAAGCTAAGATACCTTTATCGCGACCCCAAAGCCGATAAATGCGACCGTATATGCCATGATCTAGTCGAGCAGTTTGTCGACAAGGCTCTGCGGACGCGTGAGCGGTGCAGTCAAGAGAAAGACACACAGGAAAAGCACAGATACTTGTTCCTTGATAGCCTGGCGCAGCAGACTGGTGACCGGACACGTATTCGTAGCGAGCTGATCAACGTCCTCCTGGCTGGAAGAGATACCACTGCATCCTTACTGAGCAACTTGTTCTTCATGCTTGCAAAACACCCCGAAGTCTGGCACAAATTGCGCGAGGAAGTCGCAACACTGGAAGGGCGTACGCCTACATATGAGCAGCTGCGCAACCTGACGTACCTAAAGTACTGCCTGAACGAATGTAAGTCGAAGTCCACTCGCTCGCTTTCTAGAGTCCTTTGCACTGACTGACTCCTTCAGCGCTTCGTCTTCACCCCGTGGTTCCTGCTAACGCTCGTTTTGCCCAAACCGACACCATCCTTCCTACTGGTGGTGGCCCGGATGGCAAGTCCCGCATCTTCGTGCCGAAGGGCAGCGTTGTCTCGTATTCTGTGTTCGCGATGCACCGGCGCAAAGACTTCTTCGGTTCGGATGTGCACGAGTTCCGACCCGAGCGGTGGGCTGACCTACGTCTAAGCTGGGAATATCTCCCATTCAACGGAGGACCACGGATTTGCGTCGGTCAGCAGTATGCACTGACAGAGGCAGGTTATGTGACGGCGCGTTTGGCACAAAAGTTCTCGATCCTGGAGAGCCGCGATCCAGGCCCTTGGGAGGAAAATTTGACATTGACATGCTGTTCCAAAAACGGGACGAAGGTAGGACTAAGATAGTGCACGGGTTCGACGGCGCCTATCGAGGAGTCATCATGTATCTTTGGAAAAGCATGGTCGTAAATCAGGGCGACTCGCATCACGTTTCGTATTTTGCAAGCTGTGAATCAACATTAATCTTCACTTCTAAGTACACATCCTTTGCGGCATTATAAGCAGCACTTGGCGTCAACAAGCGGCAACAAGCGGCGACCAGGTACCCTGGCTTGCAAAGAGATCAGTCCCAGTCAGGGAAAAAAATTGGGATAATTCTGCCAGTCCTCTGTGGAATCAGTATAAACATAGGCTGAAATTTGCGAAGCGACAAGTCAGCTCGATCCGGGATCAGGTATCCCTTCTGTGTGCGGGAAAGTACAATAATGGTCTGCAAAGAGGCATGCTTTGTTCAATTGTCGGATCCCAGTCAAGAGCAACGCCACCAGCTGACCAAAGACTGGGATTCCATACAGTCATGCAGCCCTGCTCATCATGGCTGACGCGCGTCTCATTCAGAGATAGTCTTTGCCTCAGCATACCCCTCCACCTTGAAGCCTCTAGAACGAGCGAATAGATGTCTCGTCATGAATCAAGTCCGAAATAGCCTGCTCATAACTCGTTCTATGTCTGACGGAGGTGGTATGGTTGCAAGGAGATGCTAATTTTTCTGAGTTTGTCGCTCGTCAAGAAGCCTCGCCCGAGAGTCGAAAACTTGGCTCATAACTGCGGCCCAGCCCGGGACGGCTGCAGGTTCAACAAGGACCAGGGTCTAGACAGCCGAAATTAGACCAGGGCGAACTGGTGTCGTACAGGTCAGTCCCGCGAACAAAGAAAGAAAACAAAATACTCGGCCGTAGTGGCATGAGCAAGAATATGAAGCAGAGGGATAAGGTCGAGACATGGAATCCGTCGATGTTGACAGAACCTAAAATTAGCGAAGGCAGACGACTAAGACAGTGATCAGCGCACAAGTCTTCTAATGAGGTATGCATTTGTATGAGGATGATGATGCTGTGACACAGCAGCATAACATACCTAGCGATATGTCTGGGACTCACGCATCCTGGACCAACGGTGCAACCAGGAAAGTCGGTAGGCAAACCAACATGATCGGGCATGGCGCATGGCCCGCCTATCAGTAACCCCTGCTCAGTACGATGTGTCCTTTCTATCAAGCTTCACATTTGGCTGCAACAAAGGATATGCGTAGTCGGTGGATATGGTGACCTTTTTTTGCATTTTTGCGTCGTTGAGGTACATTTTGTGGGCCCGACAACAACACGTTTGTTTCACGACGTCTCGCCCAAGTGGTAAGTCGTGTTCTGGCGGTCTCTAATATCCTCTGCCGGTCTGTCCCAGCCAGGACTGGCCTGTTCATTGTTCTTTGAGGCTGGAACTGGATCTATCAGAAGTGGCGGTGAAAATAGACAAGAATTAACCGAATGCTTCTTCGGGCTTCCATTGCCGGTGGATCTCCCTGGGGCTCTGCAAGTTCCCCGATTGGACTAACACTGATCGCCTGAAGCCATTTCACTTGGCCCGGAATGGGTCAGACTATAGTGGACCAGCCGATCGGGTCCAGATCCGTGGTGGCCGTCGTGTAGATAGTACGATCGAGAAAAGTACGGTACCATCTTAGGGGACGATACATTGCTTCAACCTGTATCCCGATATGGGTCGGTGGAATTGATTGACCTGTTCGCAGTGGGTTCCGGCCTGAAAGGGGAGAGCCGAAGAAGTGTGAGCAGGACTTGGTTGTGATCAACCCATTCGGAAATCGGAGCCAATTCGGCGGGGGGTTGGTTTTTTTTTAGGTTGAGGAGACAGCCCTCTTGCTTGGTATCTGGTGTGATGTACTCTATCAATTGTATCTGTTGGAATCGAACTTCCCCAGAACAAAGAAAGTGCCTCAGATTCGACCGATGAAAATGGGTACCAGCAGTCAAGTGAAGCAACAATTATCGTAGCTGCATGTCCCATTCAAGGAAGTAACACCCTCCATGCAAGAAGAGGTTTGTCGTTTTGGTTTGGGTGTCATTTCTTCAAGGTTGTTAACTGGTTCTGCCACCACCCCCCGCCATCCTTACTATCTACGCAGTACGCACAGTACAGTACGTTCCGACCCTTCAGTTTTCTACTACTTCCAAGTTCCAAACACTTTCATACTAGAGATTTAAACCACTCTCATCTTCTGAAATTCTGGACGATGATTGATTCTTAGCTTAGTCCCGCCAATGGCGCCCACTTTTTCCTATTTTGACTTCGCGGTGCCCACATAGCCTAACCGGCTCATCGGTGCCCAAATACCGGGGATCCAGGAGAGTATACGCGGAACGCCATCCGCATGAGCGGATCGGAGAGTAAGAGGCCAATCAGCCCAGAACCGTTGATCCCGACAGATGGTCACACAAAACCCTGCGAACAGTCCAACATCACTACGTGTTCCGTTCCGCCCTCGACTCCTTGTTCCCTGATCTGAATGAAAAACCAATGGGATCAATGCCACGGCCGCGGCTGGGCTTTTCCCCGGCCAATCGGGGCCTCGCCTGGTCTAGATGGCAAGGGCCGACCGAGGGTTGATCCTGATAGAATGAAAAAAGAAAACAGAAGTAGAAAAAAAAATTGAATGATACATGAAAGAAGGAATAAACCAAAAAGGAACGAAAAGGGGAAAGGGAGCAAAGGTCGAAGGAAGCGATGACTCCTAGTACTAGTTCGTGTCCACAATTAAGTTCTGAGATTCAATATCCTCATCTTGCTTCTTCCTCCCCATCAGCGGTCAAGAATGAACTGCAGTTACATGAAAGAAGAAGAAAATAATTGCTTCATTAAATCCCTCCCAAAGTCTTTATGGGAGCTGCAGCCGGTCATTGAATCAGGTTCTCATCTGCTAGGCCACCTACCACTAGCCAGCTTCAGGCCTCCCCTCCCCCCCTTCAGGGAGGTTTTTTGACACCCACTCTGACAGGGAATGCAAGGGAAGCAAACGAACAAAGCCGGATCCATAGGGCGGGTGCCTCATCGCTAGGCGGCCACATGGCACGGTTTGGATTCCCAACCTGGTCGACTGACCCGCAGAAGAGTGGGTGAAACTGATGGTTAAACAAGTTAAGCAAGGCCGAGGTTTCGGGAGCAGAAAAGGGATATAAGTATCCTAGATCCTCAAGACCGTCCCGGAAGTATAGTCCCCAACGCTCGCGCATCCATTTAATCAATTGCCTCGACTGCAACACTTTCCACCGAGTCTCTCCTTCCTCAAAGCTTATCTCAGACCTACGTCCATTCTCGGTTCTTTCCGTCTTCGACGATATCTATATCACATACAAGGCCTCACAATGGACCGCAACTTCGCCGCAACCAAGTCGGGGGCCGGCAGCAACAAGCTGGATAAATCGCCCACGCCCACTCTAGCCGACTACCAGGCGCAATGGGCCAAGATTCACAATGACACCATCCGCCAGATCAAGCAGGCTCAAGGTATGCAGACGCAGCTCCAACGTGTGATTCGTCGCCGATACTGACTTGACGTTTTTCGTCAGAGGAAGAAAGAAACGCACGCGCGACGAGTCGAGCACACTCTTCTCCCTCCAAGTAGCACCACCTTGACTATGTGGCCCGCCAGCGGTTTGCTAGTGGTTTCTGCTAGCTTCTCCATCAATTCGCCCTCGACGTGCTTTCTTTCTTTTCTTCTTGGGAAAGTTCTGACTATACGTGTTTTATCGAGCCTCTTCTGTTTAGATTTAGCGTCTGTTGCTCCGGATATACCAATTCCCCTCTTTTGTTTTGGGGGTCAGATCTTAGAATCTCTGGTTGTTTTATGATGTATCACATTTGAGGTGCAGGATCTTTTCTTTGAACTTTGAACTTGGACCTATCTTCAATACCCTAGATGTTCATCAATTCAACGGTCGCTCTGTAGATAGTGGGGAGGAGAAGAGGAGCATGGCCAGCTAACTTACTTTATCTGACATCACCTACATCGAAGGCAATTTGATTTCGAACCGGACAAGGTACCGAGACCTCAGCTGACTGGAAAACAGTCTGTATGATGACGTCGGGGGTGCTGGTCTTCCGATCTACTAAGCAGAGTACTGTACTTGTAAGATTCGCACCGCCACCAGAAGCTATGCATAGTAACCGAGTGCCATCGTGAAAATCATCTTGTAAGGTAGGTCGGACGGGGGGCAGGAGGTGAAATATGATATGACACCGATTCTTGGCTGACAAGGTACTCCGTACAGTAACTTACCCATCATCAAGGTTGGGTGGGGCACTGGGGCTGGTTAAGAAAGAATCGTTGTTTCGCCAATGGGCCCCACCGTTCCAAGTTCCAGTTGTTGACCTTTTTGTCTTTCATTTCGGATCAGGTACAACCAGTCAAGGGATTTGCAGCCAAGCGATCGAGAACTTGATTTCCAGGAGATTCAGAGGTAGTCGAGTATAACCTTTCATCTTCGATATGTGGGACTGACTGATGTGCTCTGTGTGGATATGCATACCAGTCTTTTGCTTTCTATTCCACCCATTTCCATACTATAGGTAGTAATTATTATCATCATTATGTTGTTCCCACCTCCAGCCACTGGGGAACGGAAGGGGCAGTTCCCGGAGTTGGTCAAATCTGACTTCTCCGCCAACAAAAGTACCTATTTGTAGTAAAGCAGAGCTCAGGGCTACCTGACAAAATGGGTAAGAGGTTTTTTTTCTTTTTTTTTTCCCTGCCAGTAACGTTCACAAGACATTTGATGTACAGTACGAGCATCCCTGCTTTGCTAACTTTTTTTTCTTTCATTATCTCAGTCCTTCCCTGCCTTTCCTTCTTCATATCTTCCAATAGCCCTATAACTGCGGACTCAGTAGACTTGTCAGCTAAGGCTACCGTGGCCCCAATGGGACCGAGACTGAAACACGCTGCTTTTTTTTAACGATGTCCCAGTGCGCCACCGTCTCCCGGAACCTACATTCCGATTTGCTCGAGAGCATCTCGAAGCAACAAAGCCAAGGTAAGTGATACAACAATAGGTATGTCTGAAGAAGAGAAAATGTCAAGCCGCCGGATCCGACTTATGTATTCTTTGTTTGACAGGTTCAAGGTGGATCGACTTGTCTCCACTAAGGTGCTGGAGCAGTTCTTTGTCTTTGTTGTAATTATTGCAGTTCGTCCTGAGTGGTCTGCTGCACGAGGTACAGGCAGACATGGCTAGAGGCAACTCGGCAGATGCAGGTATAGTTGAAGGTTATCGCGAAAAGGGGAGGAACAAAAAAACAGATCTCTGCATTCTTTCTAGGCTATTGAGTAAGCAGGAGCAGCTGGAGGTGACATCGGTCCTGCGTCCTCGGTCAAGCATTTCGATCCTACTATCCGTATCATGTCAGGATTTGTCGGGCTTCTTGTTCTTGCGATGATCAGAAGGAATGGCGCTCGGCTCGAGGTAGCTTAAGTCACAGTGGTTAGTCTAACATGTGGTAGCAAACCCGCAGTGGCGGTAGTCGAGCTAAACCTGGTCGATGTTTATCCTTCGTTTCCCGGCTGTCCTATCCGTGGGATTCCATGCATCAAGCATGTGATCACGAGTCGGCGTCAGTTTTTACAAGGATGATGGTGGAGTCTGTACATGGTTGGTTGACGCAGTATTAGTAATGACGGTGAAAGCTGGTCTGAAAAAGGGCTATACTGAATCCATCCCTCTGAACTCCTTGTTGGACTTGAACAGAAGACTTTCCCAATAGGCTCAATTGGACATATGTGTTTATCTGAGCAAATAGGCTGCGCCAGATCAGAGCTTGTAATGTCCGGGTAACAGGATTTCATCAATACCCATCACAAAGGTAACAGCGGTTACACCGACGTAAAAGTGCCTATGAAAGGAAGAGAGAACCAAATTCATACAATTGACTCATGTCGTCATTATTCTACTAGCATTAATTATGCATATCAACTGGTTCTAGTACATATATAGGGTGATGCGAAAAAAAAGAAAAGGAAAAACAAGAGGAACTTTTATCACAGCACATTACTTCCATCAACATTAAACGTCTCACCACATTAACCCCCCTCCGGCTAGGTTCGGCCTAGACAAGAGCATGTCCAGTGTTCTGCGCACGACGAGCGGTACCCACGCCATCAACACCAAGCTCCTGGTTCTCACCGAGCCATGGCTTTGCTGCTTCACCCATTTTACTCTCCTTGATGAAGTAGACAAAGAGACCGACCACAATGAGTACGAAAGCGATCGGATAGAGGAAGTGAACGGAATAGTGAAAGACCTGGATACCGATTATCAAGCCCCAGAAATTCATGGTCAACATGGAAATGTTGAAAAATGTGGCTGAAGAAAGCCGGAACATGATGGGTGCCAGGGTGTAGAAAATGAAAAGGACAATGGTATATCCGGCGATATAGCCTCCGACCTTGCCATTCCAGGTGGCACCATGGAAAGAACTCCGATCAAAGATAGCGCACTGGACACCGTTGATCCACATACCCCAGAAGCCCATTTGGCCAATGACTTCGTACATGGGACGCTTCGAAACCATGAACTCCTCGAACAGATTGCTGAAGGCGTAGATGGTAGATGCAAGCAGAGCGAATAGATCTCCTTTGACCTTGTTCGAGGCAGCATAGTTAGCTCCACGAAGATAATCCGACGCGATGAGGAGACCGAGACCACCGCAGGCGAGGAAAATCCCTAGGTACTGCGTGACGTGGTAGCGAACTCGCAGAAAGATAAAGGAGATTATCACGATCACGATGATTGTCCAGAAACTGAACAGCTCGGCACTCAGAAGCGAGGTGTAGCGATATGCCAGCACCATGAAGTAGTTTCCCTCCACGTCGAGAAAAGAGAGAATGAAGTACTTCCAGCAGTCGGTGTAAAGCATGCGAAACCACTTTTTGAAGCCGTACTTGTAGATAGTAATACTCGTGTACACCAGGTTCAAGAGCACATAATTCCACAGCGTCTGGAAAGCAGGGATACTGGTTCCTTTATTGGATAGAAGAGTAGAAAATGTGGAGGAGCTGATGTTTGCGAGAGCGATAACTTGTCTAAACGGGTGACTTGAGTTAGTGACGGGGTCTGGTCGAGCTTTTATCATATTGGTCTCACCCTAACAGAATGAGCAGCCAAAAATCGCGAGTGCGCATATAACGAAAAAGTTGTCGAAACCGTCCCTCCTGCGACTCCTGCTGCTGTTCCCCGGGTTGATCCTGAGAACCCGTCGCTGGCGACTCAGTCACCGAATGAAGCTGCTCATTTTTCTCTGTTGGTGGCTGAGGCTGAACCTCGGTGACTGCCGAGGTCTTTTCACTTTCAAAGTAGGTCGACATGGCGAAATGGAAGGGCTAAGGTAACGGGATTTTGAGATTGTGACGAAAACGGAACCCAAAAATGCTCGTAACTAGTTAAAAAAGAAAGCAAGAGCTTTTCGCCAGCAAAAGTGAGCGCAAAGCTCCGAAGTCGCTCACTGCTTGTATCAAAGGGCGCAAAGAAGAAAAGGAAAGAAGAAAACTAGAGTAGCGCCGGCGCCTGGTGGGTTTTATAGCAGCGTGGATTCTGGACTCTAGGCTCTGGCCTCGTTGAAAAAAAAAAAAAAAAAAACGAAAGTTGACAGGGACTGACTGGTAGTCACAGGAAATAAAATCTTATCTAATCGATGCGGAGGGGCAAACCCGCACCAATGGTGTTGGAAAATGGACTGCGATAACAGCCTTACTAGCCTACTATAGCTTAGTGTGATGCCTAGTAGTGGTACCCAGTTTCCTTAGCGGGTACGTACTTAGTCTGGCCGGAGACTCTGAGTAGGTAGTGAGTATAGTACTGCCATTCCATCAGAGAAATTGGGTGCAAAATGATCTATTAGCCGATAGGTACTGTACTGTATGAAACGTCCTTTGGCATACCAGATAGTCGAATGAGTCTTCCTTTATGCTCACAATTCACTAAATTTTGTATGGAAGTTCATTCTTGATTTGGCTAGCAAGGGCCGTGGTACTACGTATCTACCTACGGTACGTACGGAGTACGTGCCCGCCTAGTTAGAGGGTGGGGTTGCCACGAGCCCAGACTGGACGGCAACTGGAGTCGGACCCGCGCGAAGTGGCAACTGCCCCTCTTTACTCCTCAGTCTGGCCAGTGGCCTGATTGCTATTGGTCATACTTTCCAAGCTTGCTTCCAATCTTGAACTTGATCGTTGATTGAACCTTCCTGCATACAATGTCATATTTGTTTCACTCATTCCAACCTAACATTCTAAACAGATCGCATCTCGACGAACACTTCAATCGTAGTGCGTCACGAAATGAGAGGTTAGAAAGCCCGCTTCTTCAAAAGAAAGGACCAAGATATCAATGGACGGCAAGGACGCCCACACCCCATGCGGGCATCGTGAATGTGAAGGTGCCATTGCTGGACTTCACTTTATTTTCGGAGGGAACCACCAGATTTTGCTCCAGATCGGTGTTCGCGGCATTGGGATCACTGTCTGAGACAAGACTAAGTGTTCCAGCCTTCGCTCCCGGTACCGTTACGCGCACACTCTCGGATTTCTCGCCATAGTTGGCCAGCTTGACATAGTATGTATCGCCCGAGTTTGAAGCCACCCAGTACACGGGACCGAAGCCAGAATCAGAGGTCACCTCCTTGA